TTCCTCCACTCCGAATATTTTCTTAGTTTGCTTAACTCATGCTACCATCTGTTGTTCAGTAACTACTCAGAGCCAAGACGGCTGATGGAGATCTGAGTTCTCTTAGATCAGCACTTGGCACTGTGAGCTTTTTCACAACCCAACAAGCAGTTCCAACAGCTGCATGCATGAATCACTTAAGTTATAGTACCCTGCAGCACCCTGTAAGAATGGGTTTTGACAATCTGGTCAGATGCCACACAAGCGAAAGTGCTATGAACTGAGCTCCTTGGAAGGTGTGACAAATTTAAGATCATTATTTTGATACTTATTTTAATGTAATGAGCTCTAAAGTTTCATTACTGTTCAGAAAGCTTTGGGAATACCTAGATAGCACATAAGAATTTACCATTAATTACCAAAAAAATTCAGTAGGCTGGGGGGGATGTGTGTGTGTTTATTTGTTACAGCAAACTTTTCTGACACATTCCCTATGGCATTTCATGTTACTGAGAGACAGTTTGCCCCAGCAGTAGAACTGCTCTTTGCATGCTTTTGAGTCAGTCTATATATAAACCTGTCTCCAGCAGTATTTTATTTCAGTTTTTAGTCTAGTTTGCTTAGCTGTGGATACATTCTTGATTATGCTGTGTTTATTGAAAGATTTGCTATCATAGAATCATAGAACTGTTTAAGTTGGAAAAGACCTTTGAGATCATTGAGTCCAACCATTCACCTGCTGCTGTCAAGCCCACCACTAAACCATGTCCCTAGGTGCCACATCTACACATCTTTTTAAGTACCTCCAGAGATGGTGACTCAACCTCTTCCTGGGCAGCCTGTTCCAATGTTCATGTACTGTTCTTCTGCAAACACTACAAAACATCATTCAGAGTTTAGCAAGCTGCAAGAGCACTTCTTGAAGGTTTGCAAGAGGATAGTATGGATTCCTTGTTGGTTTTGTAGCAGTTAAGCAATAACACCAAGCCCAAAGGACTGGTGTAAATCAGCCTAGTGTTGTTGGGCAAACTGGGCTACACAGCTGAGGATGTTGTCTTGCATGTAATTTGTGTTATGCTCTGGTGGTGTCATTATTTGTTTAATGATAACCATTGCTTTGGCTGAGTTTTTAACACAAGGCCATTCACACAAGAATTTATGTAGTCCATATGTTTGCATTTCACTGGGCTGCCTAAATAAAGGGGGAAGGGAGTAATGTGGAGGTTACATTGTCTTGATTGTATATTGAAGCTGCATCTGCAGACTAGCTGGAGCCAAGCAGGGTGACTATAGGATGGGACAGTATCATCCAGGAATAGGGTGTTGAAACTTCTTAGGCAATTTCCACAGAGCTGCCTGGCAGGACTTCCCCCCAGTTCCTCTGAGAAAACTGCATTTGTGGGTACCCCAGGGACAATGAGGGATGGGTGCCAGAGATGGAAAGCCTCAGTGGTTCAGCAGAACTAGGATGGGAAAGGACATGGTAAGTCTTGTGTTCCAATTTTGAGTTGGACTACAAGCCTTTCACACCCCTAGAAAAGTGGATTACACAGGTCTCACAGGATGTACAGGCTGCAAACTGAGGCAGTGAACTTGAAAATGCTGAAGAAGGTTGGTGTTAGTTTCCCACATTTTCAGAGTTGGTAAGTTTTAAAGAAAATATGTAAATGACTTCCATCAGCAATTTTCAGTTAATGTCTTGTCAGAGATTTAACTCTATAGAGAACTTTCGATAGGTTAAACTTGATAGTTCATACGACGATGAAGAGATAAGCTCAATAAAGACCAGAAAAATGGTGTTTTGCTTTCCCAGGTTTCTTACATTTATCAGCTGGAAAACCACATAAATGTAGGGATGTCCTGGGACAGAAATGGATGTCAGACAGTGAGGCATGACCAGATTTTTTTTTTTTTTAAAGCAACTGACTCCCTTCCAACTCCATTAAAGAAATAAGTGTGTGACAAAAGGCCCCTGGCAGTTATGTCCTCTTCTTACCCTAGTGATTTCTAGTTGTGCTTCTGCAGCAGAATTGATTACAAATATCAATAGGAAATCACTTAAAAACTCAATAGGACACATGTTCTTTTCTTTGGTTAGGCCAGTATTTCATGCCAAAATGCAGCAGTCAGGATTCTACAGGAAACTTGAGGGTGTAGGTTTGTTTATAGAGACCATGTGAAGTGGTCCTGTAAGTTTGGGTCAGATGATAAAATTCAACAGAGCCAGCTTCACTACATTAATCAATTGTATTATCCAAAATAAGATTTCATTGATAGAGTACATCTCATACATCCACCCCTCAAGTCAAACACTTGGTTATCTTCAGTATTTTACATCTTCTAGGAAACCCACCACACCCAGGCCAGTGGCAGGCACAGTCCTGACCCACCCCAGAGGCTGTGGCCAAGGCTTTCTCCCAGTCCATATGCCTCACCAGATAGTGCTGATGGAAGAAGGAAGGGCTACACCATAGGCTTTAACTGCCATACCTCCTCCTGCTCATTAAATCCACACTTGTCTGAGAGACCAAGGAAAGAGGGTCTTTTACCATTTAGAAAGGAGCTTAACTGTATATTGGGTCTCTGAAGTCTCCAGAGCGACCCAAGGGGCATCCAGCAGCAGGAGACTGCCCAAGAGAAAATAATTTTTTTAAGAGACATGTCAGTTTGTTACACACCCTCTATAAGGGACTACAGAAGATCAGGAACAGGCTAAGGCAGCATGAAAAAGAATGAGAGAAGGCAGGGGAGAAGACGAGGAAGAAATCCTTTGTTTCTTGTCTGCTGGGAAGAGCCAGGGGATGGAGGAAGGTGTCGTAAGGCAAAAGGCAGAGAACTGCACATCAGACAAAACTGACTAAAAACTGGGAGAGGGGACAGAATAGAGCAGCCTGGTCCCTACAGGTAACACCCAGCAATCTGCATCCAACCTCCGTGCAGCAGGGAAGTGAAAGCCCACCTCCATGTGCCAGCTTTTTTCCTGCTCCCAGGAGAGATCTGTGCTGCAGAAAAAAGACAGATGGCATCACCATTGCCTGTGCTCCTGTGGGGGATTTTTCCATATGGGGAGTTGGAAGCTTCTTTGTGCTGCTACATGTAGCCTTCCTCTCCAGCAGCCCTCAAATGCTCGGGGCCTCCACCAGTCTGCGTACCCATATCATATGCTCCTCAGACATGTGCACACATGCATCTCAGTACTGTGAACATTTCAGCTGAACCCGTTAGAAAAATAGCTGCATTTATATCTAGGGTTTTCTTCATGTTTGAAAAGTATCCTTGTTGACCTTTCTAGTCACATGTGTATGCATTTTTTTTTCATTAGGAAGAGATTGTTAATAAACGCTGAGTTACCAGCAGTGATCTGAAAAGGACGTTGAAATAACTGTTTTGCAGAGAGGAACCCCAGACAACACTGTGGCACTCATACACCGACTTCAGTCAGTCTCAGTGCCTTCCTGTACTTCATCAGAGGTAGGAGTATAGGTGTGGCAAGTTTCTCAGTTACCTGGAAAAGCACTGGGCAGCCTAGGAAACATCACTCTCATCACAACCCAGTGAGCTGCTTACTAGAATTAAAAAAGAAAAATCATCCATTTTAAGTAACACGCAGCCACCTTTGATCTCCACTTCCTTAACAGCTGAGCACAAGAGCACAGAAAGTAAAACTTTGGAAAGGTAATGTGATTTCAAGTTTTACAATCAAGTAAAGGGACATACTAAGTTTAATCCCTTTATCTTAGTTACACATTAAATTTACAACCTCACCTGTGTAAATACGTACATTTTGTTCTGCTTTCTTATACTTCCCTTCCTCTGCAACTTTCCAGTCTGCAGTTACACCAAGCGACCTTGTTCTTTCCACTTTGTTTTTACTCAGTTTTATTTTATACTCATTACTGGACTGTCAGCAGGTATTCCTGTCTTCCTGTTTAGTTTCATTTCCCTCAATAATAGCAGAATAAGGAACAATTGCAGAAGCTGAGCATATTGTATGGAAAGCTTACCGTATGCTGCAATGATCTTAAGAATATTATCACTCCATTTTTCATTATTAAAGTTCATTAGGGGGGCTTATGTTTTGATCTTTCTGCACATCCATAAAGTCTTTCAAAATAATTGGAGCAATTTGTCAAATACATTAGAAAAGTTCATGAGCTATTTAAAAAGAAAAGTCATGCAAATGATGTATCATCTCCAGGCCTGTGTGTGGGAAAGGGTGTTGCAGTTGTTCTCCAAAGTCAGATCTGCACTTCACTGAATTAAGAATAAGCCAGTTTCAAGAGAAGGAGCCTCTACAGCACAGACCTTGCCCTCTGCCATGCTGGGGCTCCTGACCGAGGCACTGCTGAGATGTGGCGAGCTGCTGCACTCAGTTCTGTCAGGAGACCGAACTCAATCTGGCATTTTCAACAGCAGTTGACAAGCTGGAAGCATATGCCAACCCACGGAGTACAGCTGCACGGCTCCAGGTACAAGCCACCTTACAGGAGCTAGCAGCTCCAGCCTCCACTAGAAACAATTTCTGAGTTGACTTGTGTTAGGTGAAAAGAACATTAAAGGAATCCATTTGGGGCATGAAACTGGAAAGGAAGAGCTGCAACCACCAAAACCAAGAAAAGATGAAAGTGCCTGGTAGTGATGCTGTTAATGTGTAACCAACATCACCAACAGCCAGAGGATCCTGTTAAAGAGTGCAAGTCCTAACACAAAGCAGACATCATCCTCCACCCAAAAGAGTAAGTATCACTCAGGGTTTTCTCTTCTAATCATGCCAGGAGGCAACCTAGAGTGTCCAGCCTGCCTGCACCCCTCTCCAGCAATGCAAGGCCAAGTGTTGGTGTTCCTGCTTTAGAGGAATGTGCTGACAACCTCCAGGTCAGTGACAATATGCTGCAACACACTGTACTCTTCGTATCCTAAAAAAATCACTTACAAAACTTATAATGCAATAAAACATGTATGAATTCAACAGATACATACTTTGCTTAAAACAGTAACTGTAGCAAACTTGGGATGACCAGGGCCAATGACATAAAAGAAAATGAGAAAAATGCAAGATTTGTACTACTAGAAGCATCTCAAAACAAGGCTGGTGCTGTCACCTAGACTGTATGAAAGTCATAGACAGGTTGTGTCAGTCTGGAAGTATAAAGATGACAGGAAAAAACCCCAAACAAACAAACATGAAGAACCTCCTTCACTAAAGCACATGCTTTCAAATCCAGGAGCTAAATCATTAAATGGACTCACAGACTAGTTGAGGTTTGCAGGTATTTCTGGAGGTTGTCTAGCCCAGTGCCCCTACTCCAAGCATGGTCAGCAAGGCTTCCCCCAAGGAGTCCAGTTTGTCCCAATTACTGTACTTCAGTAAGATGAAGCAAGAACAGCATTACTGGTTTTGTCATTTTCCAAAACAATATAATGTTTAAGTATATATTTTATGATCATTTTAATCCAATTTTAATTAATTCCCAGGCACTATGCTGAAGATCACAATCACTATTTTTTGTTCTGATATAGGCTTTCCCAGTAATACAAAGCAGTTTTCAGGCTAGCAGCATCAATAGTGCAAGGAAATGGGTACAGCTGAGTTTACAAATAACTAAAGATCACAATATCTGGGGTAGGGATCGTGTCCTCCTGTTTCTGCAAAGAATTTTCACTCTTTTACTCGATTTATAGTATCTTCTGTGGGGTGAAAGTTATGTATTATTTTTAAAATGTGCAGAATTAGACCCTCAGAATTCAGAAATTACAGCAACTGCTGTTGGGTGTTACCATTATCTTCTTGAAACAAACTCTAAGACCCGATGAAGATGCAAAATACAAGCAGATACAGTCATATGACAGAAGACATGAAGAAACAGTGTGGAAAGATTAATAAAAATGGAATCTTAGCATAGAACCAGGGTTACATTTAACACAGGAAGAAGTTCATAAAGTCCATTCCTAGAGAAACAGGTAGTGAGCAGTAACATGCAGACAACCACATGAAGCAGTGCTTCAGCGAAAGAGAAACAGAACTGAGCTACAAGCACACTGAAAAACTATAGAGTGAAGTAAGTGTTTTCACATACAAAGTCCTTGATCTGGTCCTCAAGAAAGAACCCACCATGCTCAAAAAACTAAGATGGTGATAGCAGAAAATTAAAAAAAAAAAAAACAAAAAAAAACGAGGAAAAAAGTGGCATGCAGGGACTACTGTAACAAAATGGTTTTGTTTAAAATTATTTCAGAGACAGCAACTAGTCATCACCTGATTAGAATGCAACATATGTTCCATTAGACAGAGCTACCAAACGTCTGTACACTCAGCTGCATTGGGGATAATAAGCTCCCATTTGCTATAGGCACTGTGTGTTCTTTTCGTTTTACTTCTAGTGGCAATTAACCTCCCTGTTATTAAGAAAATTGAGCTAAAAGTAGAAGACAAACACTCATTTGCAACACTGAAGAAACAAGATCCTTTTACGCTCGCCCATTTCTTCAAATGTGTTTTCACCTCTGAAGCTCTTTTTAGATACAGTAAAATAAATCAAACCTCCCCCCTCAATTACCATTTCCCTAACTTCTTGGGCAGAAAACCCATCAGCTCCCAGGCGCTTCGCATGTCTGGGCTTCTCTTCTGAAACTCCTTGGAGTTTCATTCCCACTATAGGTTGTGACCTCTAATTTGGGACCACCATTCTAAACCCTGCTACTGCAGATAAAAATCTGACTTAGCATACACTCTCTAAAATAAAAAAGGGCATTTTCTCTGACAAACATTTAAAATAAACTCCACAAACAGTGGGGTTAGTATGAATACAGTATTCTTGTACTGAGCATTTAAATGCATGTAAGCAATCCAAAGTAGCAAACAAGAAAATTCACCCCCAGTTAAAGCAAAGATCATCCAATTCAACAAAGGAAAGTTTTTACCTCAACCCTGCAAAAACTATGGTACTTTGTTTCTCATGTGGAAAACCAGGCACAAATTCAAATAGCAGCCGAGATACTCGAGGCCTGCATGAGAGCAGTGCCACAGCTGGAGAGCACCGGGAGGTACCTGCTGGAGGGGTGAAGGTGGGGGAAGAAAATGTTACTTATTTGCAAAAGTTTGGGGTTTTTTTTTTTCAATTTTTCTCCCAGCCTGAGTTTACAACCCAATTCCTGGGCTTTAACATACCTACACTACCAGTGTCCAGCACCTGGGATACACCACCTTTGCTGCAATGTGAAACACCAGAGCAATCTGTCAATGCCAGCAGGAACAAGGAGGAGGTTTTGGCTGTACAGATAGAAAAGTTGGGGGGGGTTAAAATAAAAGAGCTAAAGGAACATACAGGATTTAAGCAGTCTCTGCATATATGGTATAAAAGCAATCTGATGTGAACAAGTCAGGTCACAGAGTTTTGTGACAGGATTTTCTGTGCTAAATCAAAATTTAACACATTTTATGTTTGCAGGCAGGTATCTGTAACACCAGTAATCATTCAATTACAGACAACAGGCAAGGCGTTTTGAATAATCACAGGCAAAATGAGGGAAAATAGCCAGAAGACCCTGTATTCAGGTGTGGCCCTCTCAGAGCTCACTGTTGGTAACAATAGTAAGATTCCCAGACTTTTCTGACAGCTTTTTTTAAGTTCCATTTCAGATATGGGAATTAAAACAAAAATCCATTAGCAAGAAATGGCAGAAAAATACCGTTCTGAGGACAGAATCAGTCTCAGCAGAACCACCGGATCCATGTCTGTTCCTGCATTTGAAAGACCAGCTTTTCCTGGGGCAGATTACAGTAACCTTTGCTCATTCGTGTTGCCTATATTTGGATGTACAAAGTGGGTTAGTTCAGTACTTGTCAGGGCTTGTAGACTTGCAGAAGAGTTCTTTGGACTTCGTCCCTGGGCTGGCTGGAAACTCAGATGAAGGCTTGGAAGCAAGGAACGGAGAGTAGTTAGAATGGGACAGGCTGTCCAGCATTGGTCTCTACACACAGAGCCCTTCTTTCACCTTCCCTCCTTGCATAAAGTGTGCAGTAAATTGTACTGGGAATTAGAGCTTATTTTCTTGAAACAAAAAATGGTCTGGATGTTTAATGGCTTACTACAGTTGCGACTTCTGTGCTTAGTTTGAAGCATACTGCAGGTGTTCTTGGACATTTTTGTATTTTTCTCTGTATTCTTGTTTGGGAAAGGACATTCCAGCTTGTATAACTACCTCCTAAAAGCAATATTAGTCCCTAGAAAGGAAATGCAATATTATATATTGTACGCTGGCCCAAGTGACTGGAATAGAAATACCTTTTAAGATTAGGGCCTCAGTAACACAATCTCACTGGCATCAGGAGGACAGCAAAATGAGGCCTGTCCTCATTCACCTCAAGACAAACTATTTCTGGCACAGAGTGTATTTCTTGTAACATACATTTTCCAAAATTATCTTTACATAAGGATCAGCACAGAGATGAAACAACTGAGGAGGGGCAGAAAAGCCTAAATCCCTCAGTGATACACACATCAAACTCAAGAAACTGGAGCAGTTATTGCATCTCTACAAATTCAGAAGGCTCCTACCACGAGAAATAAGAACCTAACTTGTTAAAGCAATTTTTATTTAAGTAGTTGGAGGGAAACTTTCATATAATGAGGAAAAATACTAGAATTGAATGTCATTAAAAAAAAAAAGTCAAGCTGATGGGCTCTCTGTGCAAACACAGCAGTTTCTGATGGAAAGGGGAAGTGAGGGTTTTCATAACATACTCCCTTTCAAATAAAAAAATTAAATGCTAGTTAACTGCAGTACATGTCATCATTTTTTATACAGTCAAGAGAATGAAAAACAAAAAAAAAGCAATTTAAGAGAACGCGACCTACAATGGAATAAATTCATTCGCAGCAGAGACAGAGTAAGACTGCTTTTATGAAAATTACAAAGAAACATGATACAACAAAAATAGGGTGTGGGGGATTTTCCACTAAGATTAAAAATGAAAAACAAAAAAAATTCACTTTTGAACACCATTATTATTCAAACACATATGAAGTTTCAACCTAGTTTTCTTCTTATACATGGGAAACACTGTTAAAGTGAATCTTCAAGAGTGAGAAGGCACCATGAACTGTTGGCTGATACCTTTAATGCACACTCAAGAAAGAAGAAATGATCTGGCATGATGCAAAAAATCATTAAGTGTTTATATATATTCATATATCTTTTCATAAAAAAAAGCGGCAACAAGTCATTACTTCAGTGCCAAAATGTATTTTGTCTGGCTGACTCACTCATTAAGATGATTTCTCACTTAGACCTGTATGGTATTTTTATACAGTGGTGAAAGTGGGTGATTTTGCACTGTTGCATTTCATATTAGATTGGTAAATCAAGCGTCTTCTAGGTTCTGAGAAGCCAATCCTATGAAGTATTCCTAAACTCTATGCAAATGGAATAATTAAATGCACTGTCTAGAATGGAATACTCATCTGTATGACGTGGCAATTCCACTGGATTCATTTTGATATGTAATGTCTTGTAGCAGATGTTATAACAAAAATAACTTTTGCTTTTTGATTTACCTCACTGAGGCCATTAATGCTGTTCCTATAGTTGGTTTTCTGGAGTTTGATGACACTTCACTGCTGTCCAAAATGAGTTTGAACCTTAACCCTCCAGAGTTTGTTCACTTTGTTGCTTATATTATTGCACTAGCTACTAAAGTTTTATATCTTCCTATATAAATCTAATTGTTCAGAGTGCAGATTCTATATTTAGATAATGAACAGTATGAAATAAATAAAATAAGGGGATTTTCTGGTCAGAGTTGCTGATATGTTGAATACCTTAATTATTTCTAAAGTAAACAGTTTTGGTGTATATTCTTAAAAACCTATGGTCATTCAGCATAAAAGCCTTGACGTAATACTTTAAGAATGGATTTGTTTTCCTTCTCAAAAATGCATCAAAGAATTGTTTTAAATACAGAATCTGTGAGGCTTCCTACAAATTCATCTAAATCGTAATACAAACACAGTTTGTAATTCAGATAATATAGAAAGTTCTCTAGTGTCCATTGAAGTAAGGTCCCCAAAATGCAGTCTGTTTTGTTTCTGAATGGGAAAACATTGCAAAACGTTAAGCGGTTCCACTGGCTGAATAGGAGAACTGAGGAAAATGAGGTCTTCTCTCGTTATCTACACAATCCATGCTGTCATCTGAAAAATGAAAAAAAAAAAAACAGTAGAAAACATTTGCTACCTTTTTGATTTTTAGTAAGCAAACAACAAGATAATGCATGGTAAAGTTACTTCAGAAAATTTCACTGTTGCCTTTTTATTCTACAACTTGAAAGGACAAAGAAACAGGAGGTCTTAAATCTCACTCCATTAAATGTTATAACAGAAGATCCTGACTGTTGTATGTAAACAGTTGTTCAGATGTCCATTTAAAACTGCTAGGAGCTGCACCGCTTAAATTCACACTCAGTGTTCTGAATTTCTGGCAATTACTATTTCAGAGCATCAAATGTGCTCAGTTACCATGAAAATAAAATACATTTTGATTCAATATGGACATTAGTCCACACTCAATTGACTGCTTGCATACACACAATGTGTGTGCAAACATACACATGCAAAACTCACAAACAGAATTTTCTAGCGGGAATGTGCAGATCTGGAAGAGACAACACTACAAATAATTTCACTGTCTTCTAAAACAAGTTTTTCATTTCCCAAACTAGAAAGACATGTGGAAAGTTTCACATCAATTTACCAACTTCTTGGTCAAATACATTCATGGAAAACCAGCAAGTTTAAACCGATGTTTTTTCACAGGGTCTGAAGAGACCAGGTAACATTGCAGCAAATTATTTCTGGTGGTCTGGAGAACACAGTGGGAAACATTTAGGAAAACTTTACCTTGGTCAGGAGGAGTGATTGTTATCATCTGTGCTGTAAATTCTTCATCAAAGTATCTTGTATCTGTTTCAGATGTAACTTGTGGCTTAAACAGAGGTACAAGCTATGAAAAGCAAAAAAAAATACTGTCCATTTACAGGTTCTTGCAGTACTGTTCGAAACAGGTAGAATTTGAAATAGACTTATAAGCTATAAGCGTGTCTTCTCCTACATTTCTAAAATAAGTTTAAAAAACACCAGTTCATAAAGAAGGAACCCTATAGAGTAAAAAATACTCATGTAGGTGTGCACTTCCTATTTATGAGGAGTTTAAGACATTTTGTCTCTAGGATTTAATTGCACAAAGAAAAACCTAGAATCTTCAAGTAATAAATCACATGCTTACAGCGGTTTAAAAGTAATAGTATATACTGGTTCCCCAACAAATTATATGGGGAACCAGTATATACTATTACTTAGATATACAAATTATATATCTGCATCTAGACAGATTTATGCTTGAGAAGGTTGAAAACGAGTGAGACACTCAGTGATACCAAACTGATCAGCTAGACCCGCCTATCACCACAAGGGGTGAAACGTTCACAAAAAAATTTCCGCTGCAGAGCTACCATGCTCATGCAGCTTTGACTGCAACTGTGCTGTAGGTCTGACCAGCCCAGGGGAATTTAGTCCAAGGCAGAAGCAACGTTAAGCTTTTATACTGCTGGTCCCCAAAAGCAGCTTGATAGCAACTCTGAACTTAAAAAAACCCGAGCACACTTAGTGGGGAGCATCCTCCTCTTGTTACACCGCGAGCTGCACTATTTGGGTTTTATTCTTGACACTCACTTGGGCAGGCAGGCTAGAAATCATCCATGTGTACCTAGGCAAGCTCCAGCAAGAGGAACTCCAGATGGAGCGGAGCTGCTTGACTGGGGCTGGAGGAGAAGCGCGCCTGGGAAGCAGGGTGGCGGAGCTGGCTGCATACAGATGCACGGAGTTGGAACACAGACAGTTTTGGAGGGCAATGGAGCTGGGATTCAGACCTCGCTCACCTCCCCACTGCACGGTGCGGTACAAACAGCATGTCAACACTGTTCTTAGCCCTCCCACAGGGGACATGTAATAGCTCTCAGCACTGGGCTTCAGTTCGCCCACCACTGGGGTTAAGCATGGCCATCTTTTAATAGCACAGAGCCACACCAGGCAACAATTCAGGAGCGTGATTGAGGAAGTATACGGCTTCCAACCTGAAACTGCAGGGAAAGGTTTACCCAGGCAAATGGTAAATTGCTCCAAGTGGAATTAAGCAGTGACCCCAAGAATTGCACTTCTGCTCTGACAGAAATAAGACCGACACTGACAGAAATCACTACCTGGAAAACATCAGCAAATCATGGACGTACAAAATACTTCTTCCCCACCTCCTTCAGCTTAAATCTGAAGAATCATTTGCTTGGCAAGTGGGTAAATAAGAAAGCAGTAGCTTCAGGCTCCCTATTGGCAGGATCATCTTTCTGATCTGTTTTGAGAGCACCTAATAGAGTGTTGTCCTGTCTTATAAACAGCAATCCAATAAAGCTCCCTCATCTTCAATGTAAAGATTTTAAGAAATGTCATCTACACATATGGTAGCATTTCAAAAAACAAAGAAACATTTACTGTTTAAAAATCATTAAAAATTAAGGGACATAAAAATTCTGTTTATTATAAGAGAGTAAAATTATAGTATACTTTTTTTTTTTTTTTTTATGCCCAAGGATGGCTTAGAGGAGCCTGGCAAATGTTCCTGTCAAAAAAAATTTAGATCCTTATAACTGGTCTTTATGTCCTGAATTTAAAAAGGAAAAGGAAAGAGAATATCCCAAAGTAACAAGTCACTCTGACCCTTACCGTCCTCCTGAAGCTACTGAAGGGGGAATGCTTCACATTTTCACGTTAATAACACTATTCTCAATCAAGTCACACCAACATACACGTAAACACCCTGTTGAGGATGAACATTCCTTCTTTCATGTTTTAACTCTATTCTCTTTCTCCTTATAGCAGTTTTCTGCCTACTCCTTAAAGCGAACCTTGGTTTGTTTTTGACAAGCTGTGCGTGCACGCGTGTCTGAAGTTCTATCTGTCCTTTTAAACTAATGGTGGTTTTGGCACTCGCAACGCTCCCAGTTGCTCTAGCTTGCTGTGCGCAGCGCAGAGTGATTTAGGACTTGGGCATGGCAGCAGACACCTGAACTATGCACATCAGAGAGACTCGGAGCAGCAATCCTAAGTCAGAACACACGTGTAATGGGCTAGCGCTGCCTGTATCATTTTCCCTTTTATTTTAGTATCTGTTAAAAGCAATTTGAGACAGATTATGATGCACCCACAAGACAATTTCACCCCCACCCCCCCAGCTGTCAAATTCAGAATGTTAAGCTGGAAACAGAGGGGAAGCTGCAGAAAGCTATAACGCTGGCTTTACCAAGCAAATATGCTGCTTTACTAAAAAGCTGTCACTGCAATAGCTCTGCAGTTCAACTGGCAGAAAGGTGCCACCTGTAGCCTCCCACTGCTGCAGACCAGCATGATGCCCATAGGCTTGTTGGTTTAAAAGACAAAAAAGACCAGAAAAGATGATGTGATTAAAATGTCATTGCGAAAGTTTCGCTTGTTGGTGGGCAAAATACTGCCAATTAAACTGCAGCACCTTTCTTTTCACCAGAGACAAATAACAACACTCTTCCAGAAGAGTCTAATGAATATTTTAAATTCTTAGGACAACCCCAGTTATACAAAACTCCTTATAATTCAAAGCAAGGCTATGTTTCCAAAAAGCTTAATTACAAATTAAGTGTTCTCGATTACCCCAAGCCTATATTCATAAACATATTCACTGTTATCTGGAGATAGTAGGTAACCAAGCTTAGCATATAAACACCTCTAGGCAGCTGACAAAATTCAGCTTTTATCTGTGAGACTGCATTTCAGGTAAATGCTGCAAGATCCTCTTTGGACCATCCAGAACGTAGGCATCAATTACTCAGAGGCTTTTTGAAATCTCTTCATTTGCACAGCACGGCTATTTCAGATGAACATGCTAATGGGACAGGAGCAAACCAGAATCCTGAAAACCTCCCTGCATATGTCAGGGTCAGATACAGTCTCAATTAGCTCACTGTTTTTGCCAAAATATGTATCATTGGGAATTTCCTGGCAGTTTCTACAACAATCTGAGTCAGTACTACTATGGGACAATTTATGGAGGCTTTCTCAGTCCTGGATACATAAATTGCCTCCAGCTTGTATTTGTGCTCCATTCAGGGAATGAGGACTACTGTTAAATAACTTCACTGAAGACATTTGAACCCTGTTATCAACTTTTTACCTTAAAATACCAAAACCCAAAGTATTCAGCTTGTTAGCTGGCTGAAAATGGGGACAACCTCCTGTTTAGAACAGTAATTCAGATATACCTTTTACATTATACTGAATAAACTCCACGCAACTGCCTCCTGCTCGCATGACCACATGAAGCTCTCTCTCAAGGGATGCTTTGAAAGGACAGAAGTCTACACTCTACACTTTCAAGGCACAAAAACTTATTTTATGATTTTTCAGTTCCCCTTAGCCACACCAAGCTGCGAGGAAGTGAAAGAAGAAAAGGAAACAGAGCACTCTTTGTAACTGTATACAGGCACAGGACAATTCTCCCACTACAGTATGGAAACCAGGGGTGTAATGCTCTATTTTTTTAGGAATACAAACTTTGTTAATAGTTCACTGTATTAAGTTTTACCAGAAGAATTCAAAGAATTAAAGCTCAGTTTCTGCTATGTTTTTTACCTGCTCCCACTAACCAGAGGGAGAACTAAACTGTATTTAGAGATCAAATGAGATCTGATTATCACGGGTGGCTGCAGGGGGAAGGAGAGAAATCAGGAAAGGCTGGGATTGAGTGAGATCATGTGGCACCAGTAGATGGGTGCCTTGAATCACCACTCCCATGTTCTAGTTAGCTGCATTTCATGTGAGCGTCATGGAAACTGCGTCTGGTGAGAATCAAATGGGAGAGGACAACAGCAGATTGCCCTGAGAGCATGAAGCAGGGCATCTTGGAGTAGTGGAGTAAGTTATTTGTGAATGAAGCAACAGTGAGGCAAAGACAACTGATGAAACACACTCATATGGAAAGTGCTGGGCTCTCTGACTTCAGTGGCTCCCACTGGAAAGCCTACAAACTCAGTGAGTCACAAGGAAAACCAATGAGAAATACCATTAAGTGCAGACACTTCACATCAGCCCTCTGTCACCAAAAAAAAAAAAAAAAAGTATTAGGCTGGGATTGATGTAAAAGCCTACACTTCTCTGCACTTGCCTATTCAGTCTAATTTCATCATTCAAGACAGGAAAAATACAAAGGGAACAAACAGCCCATCTTCCACTACTGCTTCTATGAAGTTTTGCTTCAGGTGATCAGAAAACAACAATAACTCCTGGGCTCACAAGGGATATATCATTTGACAGCAAGGAATGGCAACAAGAATTCACAGGAAAAGCCATTTTAAAAGCCTATATACTGTCTAAATTTGGAAGCAATTCTGGTTACATCCTACTTATTAAGACACAGAAACAAGTATCTCATTGAGAGATGCTCCTCTCAATGTGAATAAAAGGCTTTGCTTCAGAAGTAATCTGATTACAGTATTTTAAGAAACATGCAGCAATTTAGCCTTGTTAAAAACAATTGCAAAGCTCTTCTGTGGAGGGCTTCTGTGTACCTTACTGAGAGCAACAAAATTTGAAACATTCAGTATATTCACAGCTACAATTCACCTTGGGAGAATATTGTATAAGTACCTTTTTCTCGTATACATCTTGCCAAACAATGCCAGCAAAGAATTTGTGCTGCATAATCTCCTTGGCATCATCAGGACCGCCACCTAACCTGTTTGGGGCAAAATAAGTAATTAAATGTTTGAATACAGTTATTTTTCTCATACATTTTTTATTAAATGGTAGTGAAGAAATTCTGAATTTATATAATACGTTTGGGAGCAGTTCTACCATTTGCTTCGTATTTGTTTTTTGAGCAAGGGCTGCAGGATAGCTTATTGTAGGCTTCAACACAGTTTCACTAAAAGACTTGAAAACAGAATTAGAATAAAGGTTTCTCTTAAACAAACAAACAAGGGGGGTGGGGGGTGGGGTGGAGAGACAAATTCAAAAGACCTGCCCTTCAGGAAAGATGCTGTTGTAGGGACCACAGCAGATACTGCTAGTAAAAGGTCTGAGCCACACAGCCTCCTCTTTCTAAATTAACAAGTTAAACAAGTGACTGCCCCTTACAATTTTCTAGACCAGAGTGATGCCAGCAGTAAAACTGAATTTGATTGTGAAGTGTACGAGAGGCAAGGTATTTTAAGACAACCTGATTTATGCAACCTGATTTAAATTTCCATTAAAGCAAACAGTTTACAATTGAAGTGATACTATCGTGTTGTATGCAAATCTTTCCTCCTCGGCTTCATGAAAGCATAAAGACTGTTTTATTGTCTTAAGGTATATCAAGATAACGCATTATTATTCCAAAATAAAACTGTCCACACAGCTTATAGATGCAATCAGTTTAGTTGCAGTCTTGAGCTAACAGATGCTTAGATTTTGCTGTGGAGGTTAAAATGGTCTCTAAAAGGTTGAACCACATCTGCAAGCAAAGGCATGCACTGAGAAAACAAAACACACACTGAGTAATCAGCAGGAGACTTACTTTCAGGTAACAAGGTTAAGATGATGCTCAGGATTTTAAGTACAAGAGGTGCCACTATGTTCGTCTCAGCTGACCTCTAGTATCTGCCTGTTCTCTGATTCTTGGTGCCACTGGCAAACTGAGATATTATTCCTGTTGTAAGAGCTTGGAACAATGGCTCCACATGCGCAAGGCTAGAGATATACTGCTACAGAAAAGAGGGCCAAGGACTGTTCTTTTAACCTGAAAACAAGCTGCCTGGTCAGACTTCATGTGTGCTGCACAGCAGTTGGCCCTGAATCTCCTCTGGGCCACATACAGTAACCCTGCAGCCCTAATACGTGATTATTTGGGGAGAGAGGGCAGGGATTTTGGTTCAGAATATCAGAGACAACGTGGAGGCTGTACTAAAGCCCACTGAAGTGGTATTTTTACAGCTTCAGACTGCACTGCATGCTCTGGGATGTAGCTTAAAGGCATAATATTGGGACAGCACTGGATGATTGTTTAGCACGGAAGAGTCAAATACAGGGACACTTTGTCCATACAGCTGGCTGGGAATGAATCCTGGTGTGGGCAACCCTCTCAGCCATGCCCAAGCACTTGTCTTCAGAGAATGAAAGCTGGCAGAGACCACAGCTGTGAAGACCAAGCAGCAGAGGTGCCTGGCAGTTCAGCGTCCATGCCTGCTTCCCAGCCCTCTTCTGTTTAGTGGCACAGTAACCTAAGGAGTTTGCTCCTTCACATTCCTTCAGGAAATGTGCAGTGTAACAGGGAACGGGTCCTCAGTCTTCCAGTAGCAAAGTATTGACTGATGCTCTCCTTCCCCATGTAAGTGCTAAGACCAAGCCTAGGTTAGGTTAACCTTAGAGCCCCATAGGCCAAGCCAAGCCAGATGATGGCTCTCCCATCTGCCTAGCAGCACATTATACAGCTGCAGAGCAGCCTGGAACAGAGACAAAACTCCAGGGCAGCCTGGTAAGAGACAAAGTCTGTGAGTAATCATCTCTCAGCTGGCTCCCCACAGGTCTAGAGGCTTTGCCAAGCCTCTACCAGGCTCCTTGCTTCCCCAGTGCAGATGACGATGGCCAGTGAAGAGGAGGGTGGAGTCAATCCTCTTTATCCACAGATGTCAACAGACTGCACTTCTGCACAGGAGAAGTTCAGGATTAACTGTGAGCTAAGAAGAATCTGAATCGTGTTTTGCAGAAGCATATAAGAAGGCTGGCTGGCTGCAGCCATGTACAACTGCTTTGGAGAATACGGAATCTGATATGAGCTACTGTTCCATGAAGGGCAAACACATACTCAAGGAAATGCCAAGAAAAAACCCCGATGTTTTACTTACCTTTAAAAAAAAAATCTGTACTATTAAACAAGACTATTCAAAGTGAATGGGAAAACTACAGAAAACTCATATTTTGGATATGGACTTTTCAGAATTATTATGAAAGGACCCTCTCAAGGAGAACAAAATTAAATCAGCAACTAACGTAAAAATCACGGTTAAGTACCACTGAGCACTGAAAGAGCCACAGGTTTGTCTTTTGTAAGGACATGCAACAACTGAAGAAAAATATAGCAGGAAAAAAAAGTCTTGAAAAGATTCTTCTACAATAAGAGCGAATTCTGTGCATTTAAGTCTTCAGACAGAACCAAAAATAGTATAAATAGGACTTAAAAAGAAAAAGCTACTGAGATTTACAGTATACAAGGAAATATAACAGAAAGTGTAGAGGCCAAAAAGTAATTTAAAAAAAAAACAACAAAACCAAGAAAACCCTCAAAACACAAACTTCTGTCTAAATCAGTCTCCTCAGAAAATACCTGCCAAACAGTTCTGTTTATTCATTTAACTTCCATCTGTATTTGAGAGCCTGTGTTTCTGTATTTCAGCTAAATCCCAAGGAGAAAATGTATTAATAAAGTGCAACATCAATATTAAACTGAAACAGTTTCCACATTTTTAATTTTTTATGAAACTGTGTACTGCTTGCAAGTTCTTTTAATCATTTAATGACAAATGTCTGTGGTCCACAAATCAAGGGCAATCAGCTATCATTCCACAGATAAATAATGTGCAAATATTTAAAAAAAATCATGTACTGTAATTTCTTATATATATATATATATATATATACACACACACACACACACATAATAAAAATATAGTGTATAAACACACAGTCAACAGTGAAAGTATTATCACAGGCCAGAAGATTGCTATTATTGGATCAAGGGAAAAATATTGTTTCTCTAATTGTCCTTGTAAAAGTAACAGTGCTCAGCACCCAAGTCCATTCCCAGCTCTTTAAGAAAAACCCCACAAACTTCTAGTTTTATAGTTTAAAAGTTCATGCAGTAAGGACAGCCAGACTCCAATACAGGAACAGGCAGCAACCTCCTTCACTCTGCCCTGCCAAACAATCCCCTTCATGAGCTCGTGTATCACCACATTAGGAGCCACAATACAGATTCTGACTGTGGACGAATCCTCGTCTAGAGAAACTGTCATACTTTTAGGTTACAGATTTCTGCTCTTTACAGATTTGCACACACACCATCCTCATATCTAAGGAGATGGTCACAGTTTTAGGCACCACTTCTATTGCCATTCTGTCTTCATACAAGTTCTCTGACTCTCCCCTGCCCCCAAACCTGGTTCTACAACAGTGCAGATATACTCGCAGGCTCAAAAAAATCAGCTCTGCAAAATCTATTGGTGTTCACCAGCTCAGAGCACACAGATGCACATTTCTCCTTCTCTGATACCATCAGGATGGAGACTAGTAACTTATTTTACTATGGTCCTTACCTTCAGAGGCCTCTAAAAGCCACAGGAAGGATTTAGGGACTGCATCTGCAGCACTTTCCTGTGACCAGCACTATCAGCATGGAGAAGCTCTGGCTGGCTTTGGGAACAGCACCATTTGATTACTCCAGATTTGGAAGGAAAAGGCCACATTCTTCCCAAAGCCGTATCTAAACACACAGTCTTTGGGGGTTTTCTTCTCAGTGATTAAGACTTTTGGAAAGCCTAATACAACTCCTAGCTCTTGGCTGAGTTTTACTTCCCTGCTTCTTCATTAACCACATGCGTGCAACACAAACACACTGGATCCAGTAACACTGGAAAAGGTCCCACTCCCCAACATTAGTAACCACAGAGGAGTCATGTTTGAAGATGCTGAGGCTTGAGAAGTCTCTAAACTACCAATTTCTAGAAAGCTGGAGAAAAAAAATCTCATTTAAATTTGCCTTTTATGTTTTCCTCAGCTTCAATTTAGATCTCTTATGGGTGAACTGCTTGAGTTTGTTCAAACTCATTCTTAATAGCTTTGGACTGAACCGATTTAGACTAAAATTATCATACAGAACAGCTAAATCTCAGTCTACCTCAAAGCACTTGGTAAAACATGTACGAATACTTGATGAGCACTCTGCAGTTCAAGTGATACCCAAGACACCAGAGTTGTCTGGAGACAGAAACACTTTTGTACTCAAGAGACACAAATTTCAGAGCAAACATAAGACACCTGTCATGTGTGGTTTCAAAACTCTGGACGCCCACAAGGCATCAAGTCTGCTGCCTAAGAGGACCAGCTATTCAAGGTTACCTCCTCCGACCTGCCACCAGCTAGCTGGGACCACCTCCAGGCCCCTGCAGTCCCCATGACTGTCACCTCTACCTCTTCCAACTCTAGCAGCGGCTGCGTGGGCTGCAGACCTAGCTGTGTCTGAGAGCAAGTTTGCTCAAGCCATCTACACTTCCAATAGCAGAGCACCACAGAGGACAGAGACATACACTTTAACTACAAATCACCTCCTTTCACAAGGGCAAAAAACCCAAGCAGCTGGTTTTCGTGCAGATAAAGTCTTGATTGACCCTGATCCTGAGCATCTGCAGCCAAAGTTGCACTCTGGATGCGGAAAGTATCACCATGACTAGAAAGAACAAAGCGCCAGATCTCTGTGTGGCTGTAAGGACTGATCACCAGTTCCCGTGACCACCTTGAGAACTACAGAGCCACAACTACAACTCTGTGAAGTCAGTAAATCTCTTAACAGGCATTTGTGAAATGCTGCATCTTCTTCCTCTCATTCTTCCTGAATGGCAAGGTCCAACAGCACCGCAGAAGACAGAAGTAGACGAAGCAGCTTGTGACAAACCCCATCTGAAAGAAGCTGAACAACCCTGACCTATGACAGGGAGCACTAAGGCACGTAGTGAAAACACATGATCAAAATTCAGATGAAACCATCCTGAAGTTCTCTCAAGTTTAAAACCTGCCAAGATTCAGAGCTTGCAAGACACTCTGCTGATGACAAACCCACCCACCCGTCTAAACTCAGCCCATTTACATGAAACGCTCTGATCCATGCCCTCTTTCACAGGTTGCAGTCTCCACAGCCAGAGAAAAAGTAATAAAAACTTTGCTGTTTTATGTGTGAAAAAATGCTGATTACCTCCTTCCATTTGATATATGTCACAAAGCAGCAAAGGAGAATTTCAGGTCACATTAAAATGAAGTATTTGCAGGACAGATTTTTTTTCTTCTTGGGAAAATTAGGGCTCACATTGCAAGATTAATAAACTTAGATCAATCCCAAAAGAAACCTCAAAATTCCTTTTCTCTTACAAAATGGATTTTATATGACCCAATTTAGGAAACAGCCATGATTAAAAGCAGAATGCAATTTATTGTTCTTCACATTTTCCCCATATGCATGGGAGTTTGAGATGGAACTGATATTACTGAATGCAGAGCGCTAGGACTGCTTCTATAGATCCAGCTCAGGTACAACAAGTCATTTTTAAGATTTAATTCACTGATGTGAGTCATGATTCCCTAGCTCCTTGATATTTAACTTATAATGAAGTTCAGTGGCAAGGATATTTTATCAATCTTTTTTGTTGTTGGGTTTTTCTGAGGATTTTACAGGAAGGGACAACATCTCCCAGTTTCATTTTTCTCATGGTTTCAGCTGTCTCCTCCATCCCACTCTGAAGTTCATCAGCAGTTACTAAATGCTGCCAATTCCGATGTTTTCTGTCACAGACAACATTACGATGACACCAACTTCTGTCCACCACTGGGCTTTGTGGAAGAGGAGATTTCTGCTTAATTACACAGTGGTTCCCCAAAGCATCATCAAGGGGCTAATGTCAATGGCACATTATTTAACTTTTCCATTAAATGTATTTTTGTAGCTATCGGGCTGTTTTTCTTCAATATGGCTCAATGAACACACTATGAGTCAACTACCAAGTATGCCAGGCACCCACCCCAGCATGCAGACCACACAGGAAAAAGAACGTAAAACTACAAGGCCAGGACTCAGGACTCCTACCACTAGTGCTTCCAGCTCAGTTCTTCACACTGCCTGAAATACCATGAAGTGCAGAGGATTTGCAGAATCACAGCTTCAATTAACAAGTTGGGTGAATAGTGATTGGTGAGAAACCAGTATTTAAGAATGGTCCATGATCCAAAAAGCTTGGGAAGCACCAGTGTAATTAGCAAGCTGCAGGCATGTGTGCAGGCTTGTCTAGTCTATAGTTATTGCTATCAGCAGCATGAAAAATCATCTGTCCAACAGATCAGAGCATCGTTGGTTCCAAGCCTGCAGAAGATACATGTGAAGAAGTGGCTATTTGTATAAAATGAGCATATTGTAGAGTAATTATTGGCACTGGGAAAACCTTATAATTAGAAACAAGTGGGCGTTCTTTGTTTGTAAACAAACTGCATTTTGGTTCATCAGAGATGCTCCTTTAAGAACAAATTACAGCAGATGCTGCTTGTGTTTCCCATGATTGAAAGGCCCCACCTGAATAAGCTACAAAAGGGTCACAATTGTATTTAACCCAGCACTTTCCTGGATAGGAATCCTGTTGGCAGAGGCTGTGACCACACTCGAAAAGCACAGTGCCTGGGGGGCTGCTAATGGCTTACACAACCTTCTCCTGGGGGTTCCCTTGCAGGCACCAGGTTCAGGACGGCATCAAGTGCAGCTGATGCCACCTAGTACAAGGCTGCCCATGTTCCTGACTACAACTGTTCCTGGTACCCCATCTCACCACTAAGTTGAATCCTCCAGTAGTACAAATTGTGAATTTGCATTACAAGCCCTCCCAGCAGGATTTTCCATTAAAAATAATGCTGGAAATAGCCTACAGTGATGACAAAAATCCTTGCTACAAGTATTCATGTACTGGCAAAACCCATTTTCCTGCTATGTGCATGCACACACACAGACTAAACAATCATCAGAAAGCAAACCGGAATACTCTGCTTATACCTCACATGAAAGATTTCCTATTTGGGGCCCATTTACAGTGGAAGGTTCAGGACAGGAGATCAGGGGCAGAGTCACAATATTATTTGTTTTAAAAATGTCTGGGTTGACAAGATGGCAGGTTTTTAAACTGATGTTTATCTTTGTGCAGAGGTCAACATCCTTTTTGGATCTTGTTCTGTTTTCTGTTTGTTAGCCATTAAGGGCTGGGAGGTTTTCATTTTCTTTTTTCTGCTTTTAAATCAAGGGCTAGTTTTTAAATAATACAGCATAGCAAAAAAACAAAACAAACAAAAAACTAAACAAAAGGAGGAAATAGGAAAAGTAGATTAAACATGGTATAAACTCCACCACAAACATGGTACACACATCACCACCTACTGTCCAAAGCAGGATGCTAAATTACTGGCACAGATTTAAACAAAAATTCAGAAAACCGACAGCAACATGAACTGGGACAGAAGGTGAAAGCATTCAGTGTAGAACATCTTAAAACCCACAACAGCCATTGGATTTGTTATGGCCGGAGGTAGGGTTAACTTGCTTTGTCTCAGGCTATAGCTTTGCATTAATGGCAGCCATCATATTTTGAAGTTCAGCCTTCTGATCACAGCTGCTTCATGTCATTATTTGTGGTGCCTGCTCGTGTTAAAAGTTAAAACAAAAATTAGTAGGTCCGCTTGCTCCATCTGGGTGGATGATCGTTTTGAATGGATTAGAAACAAAACTACAATTTTGTCTGAAATACCTTCCTCAATTTTAAATAAAGAAAAACGGCTGGCATGCATGCATGCAATACTGCACAATTTGTGCAATACCATTTTCAATTGTTTTCCAATGATGGTGATATGGGCGTTTCATACAGCAGCAAAGAAACAGTCACTTTTAAGTCACCTGTCTTGAACATAGTTCCCTTGCATGCATAGCACAGTTACTTCTTTGTGAAGACTTTAACAGAGGTTTTTTTTTCCTTTTGTAATTTTTTTCTAACAGCACGAGTGCTTAAAAGTGCAACTATTGCACAACAGTCTCACCTTTGCTTAGGATCTTTCTTCAGCAAACCTGACAAGAGAGATTTTGCTTCAGGTGACAAAGTGCGTGGAAATCTAATCTCCTCCATGAGGATGAGTTCAAAGAGCTTTTCATGGTCCTGATTGTAGAAAGGGAGCCGGCCACACATCATTTCATACATCACAACTCCTAAACCCCACCAGTCCACTGCACGACCATAGTCATTATCTTCCAGCACCTGCAGAAATGCAAGGAAAAGGCTTTAGAAGACATTCCCAAACTAGGCATGAACACAGAACTTGAGAGGCAAGATTTACTCCAGCAAGTTCATCTTTTCACATGTCACAGCCAAATCTACCAGCAGAGTATTTGCAGAAGATCCATTTGAAAAGAACTGGCATCCACGTTCACCATGCTAGGTGAGCAGAAGGGGAAAAAGGAGGCAGCGGGTACGTTACAGCAGCTCCCTTCTCTTCTTCCTCCCACCCTCCCTCACATTATGGTCATGATAAGCACAACCTTTGAAAGCCCAAAGGCTGAGAACTGTTCTCACGTTACAGAGCCAGCTGTTAAATTCTCACTTATTCATCACAAACCATTCCAAATGGGATCCAATTTTTTAGAAAAACCCCAAACCACCAAAGAGCCAGTATGGGGAGAAAAGAAAAGACCATCAACCCGTTACTTCATGAGCAACAAGCCAAACACCCCCATCAACCTGCAACCTCCAAACGGTGGCTCGGCCCAACCTGAAAGACCACCCACAAATAATCAATGACTAATCGACATTAAACACTAAAAGCCAGAACACCACTCCTAACATTTGACGGAGTTGTATGTAGGACTATAAAATGGCAGCCAAATTGTCTGGAAGTGCTTCCTCTCCTCCCCTCTGCCTCTTTCCAAAGGCCTTGCTTATAGCTCTAACACTTCTGCCTCTGCTTGGGCTGCAAACCCAAGAATCGTCAGTGGGGTGGACTTCTGCCAGGTCTCACAGCAGAAGGAGTCCTGCACAGCTCATTTTTGCCTTCCCCTGGGCACTTCTACCTAACAAAGCCCCGGCTGGTGCAGGGACTGGGGACCCCAGCAGTGCCCTCCGGCTCTCCTGCATGCTCTGGAGAAGCCCTGTCGTAGTGCATTTCTGATCTTGTGCGCTGCACGTTGTGAAAGGAGCAGGGAGTGTTTTGTGGCTTGTGGAGTGGATGTTACGAGGACTTCTCTAGACTTTATGTCTCCTACGCAGTTGTCTGTAGCTGACACCAACAGTCTCGTGTTCCAGACCCTGTCCTCAGGTTTTAGTCGTCATCTTTACTCTTTTCACGGGGCTGCACTGAAATGCTTACTCTGGCTAAGAGCACAAACCACGACCACACCACCATCATGTTTTCTTGTTGCATGGTGTCTGTGTGAGCTTTACATTGCTACAATTCAGAATACTATACACTCAAAATTAAAAGGGTGAAAGAGCCAAACAAAGTCACCACAAGTTTAACAAAAGCAGGACCTGAACCTCTTACAAACCTTGATAAAGGTTTTGGACACAAAAAAGAAGCATCAAGACACCCCACATAACAACTGTTTGCACTCTGCCTCTCTTTATTCACTAATTATTCCCCTTAATTATCTGAACGAGGGAAAGGGCCTGCAGTAAAAATCAAAAGGCTGCCAGGTATTAGATTACCCTACATTGGTCTATTTACAGCATCCCCTGCCGTATGATTCACGCCAAACGACAGCTGGCTGTGCAGCTGCCCCGTACATGTATACGGCCGACACAGCTGCCGGCCGGACAGGATTCCAGGAGCCGGCCCCGTCCTTCCCGAGGCATCACAGCCCTGCAGCTCGCGGGAGATATTGTGTGACAATGCAGTTACCGCTCTCTGAGTCACCCCGTTCAATAAGCGCTTCCTGTTCACACTCCCCTACACTTGAGTTACCTAAAATAAAATCATCATGGGGCCTCCAATTTTCATTTTTATTTTTTAAACTGCTGCAAGAGATGCAATAGGAAAGATTGAAAGAAAACCACAAAGGCCCTTCTTGTGTATGTAATAAATGCTGCACGTACTTTCAAAATGCAGAAAATATTTCAAATGTTACTTTAGTAAGCATATTAATACACTGTATTATAATCTAGATTCCTAACTACAACTGTTTCCTTCATATCCATTAATTCTAAACAGAATATAAAATGCTTATTTCTTCAAAGTTTTTTATCACAACAAGCACTCCTATTAGTGATCGCACAAAACAGAGCAACAGCGTTAGCATCAAAAATATACCACAACGAGAAAGGTATTGTACTCATCCATGATTTATTTCAACACGCAGGATAGCTGGGAGGCAGTAAAGTAACAAGGTCATTTCACTTAAATTAAAGAATCCTCATTTCCTAACAAGAAGCTCTAGACTGCTGTGAAATGGGAATTTGAAAGAGAAGGCAGAACAGCTGTAAACATCACAGCCATCGATGCATCTGACACATCAAAGTTGACATGGTTCAGTCACTGTCATCCATGCACGAGATTCCAGTATGAACCTAAAAACAACGATGCAACAACTGTACAAACATGCTGCTATGCCGGATTCAAGTTACAAATGCAGACAAGAAGATCGAGACCCCTGCTTTTAAAGATGTATGACCTTAAACACACGGAATATCGCTCACGCAGAGTTTCCAGATTTTTTGCATGCTACCGACCAGATGACAAAAGCCTCCAGAATTTAACACTCCAACTCACAGATGGGATTTGCAAGTAAGGGAGAGAGCAAATCAAAAGGATCTGTCCTTCAGGGTTCTGGATGAGCCAACTCATCATAAATATTAAAAAGAAAAATAATAGCAAATAATGTAACAGAAAAACAACATAATGCCTGCACAGGGAATCCCCACATTCCAAGTTAGGAAAAACCAAAACAATAAATATTTTAGTTTCCTTGATGAGAAACTGAAGTTCAGCTATTGATTTTAAGAGGGAAGCTACAATAAAAGCCATGTTTATGAATAATAAAAACTCTGTTGTGCTGCTAATTACTCCCTCCATCAGTAAATCTCAAACTGTGGTGCACGGACCCCCAATTTAGATTCACTGAAAACTCTGGTGATCCATGGAGAGCTGGCAGCTATTGTGAGACTGGCTCCACCTCCTTACTGCAAGCTACTTCAACAGGTGCCCACGTTCTTCCTTATTACAAAGAGACTGGAGGACCTTGAAAGCAGCTGGGAGTTAAAGAAAAAAACCAAAACAACAAAACAACCCACAAACAAAAAACAAGAGCGCACTGCCACCGCCACGCAAGCGGAGAGCACAAAAGCGCTGATCAGCAAAGACATCAGCTCTCAGTAGAAATATTCCTCCTCCACTTTGGTTTTCCACACTTTGTACTTCTGCATAATTCAACTCAAGAAGGGTTTGCGATGCTCAAGTCTCCCATCTCGGAGAAAGGCTACATTCCTGCCTGTGCCAACAATACACAACCTGCCGGCAGCCCCAGGCTTGCTTCTGCCTGTGCTCCAAGCTGGATAGAAGTCTTAACGCCACGGGTAGCAAAGCACCTACTGCAAGGCAAGCAGCCCTTCTGCAAGGCACACCACGTTAGCTCAGGCTCAGTGCCCTACTAATACAGCGAATCTGCTTCCAGACAGCTCAGAGCGTGGGCAGAGAAAACTAGCGTCTGTCTGCAAAATACCATGTATACATATATCCTCTATCACACAATTTCACTTTTGATCTGCCCGTAACTAACTCACAGCTATAACACCACCTGTGTTGCACAACTCAGAAGGAGTATTTCCAGGATGAAAGTTACAAGTACACATTTGCATTTTACTTTAAAAAAAAAAAAAAAAAAGTACTAAAAACTCCCAAAACATACAGTTTGGGGACTGAGATCCCCTACTTGGATTTAGTTCCTCTGAAACTTAAAAGTTCAAATTAATGTTGAAAAACATCTCATGCTCTTACAGTCACAAAACAGTCGGCACTTTTAATGCATACCATGCTAAATACTGCAGAAAAAAAAAAAGCTCGGTCTGTCCTGTTTCTGAAAACATGTCACCTTATACTGGCTTCAAAGAGTAAAAGAATTGGACAATACTTTTATTTCTTAAGTGAAGTCCTGTTGATAGTTTTCAAACAGGCCAACACACAGCAAAGAAACTGCAAAACAGTCACCAATCCACCCCACAGTATTTGAAGCGATTTAAAAGGGTTTTTTTTAAGTTAGATTTCTGACACAAGAAGCGAGCACAGTTCCAGTAAAATGTAAATATTCCCTAAAGCGGAAGGAAGATACTATCCTCCTGAAAATTATCACATATCGTTATGCTAAAGATACGTCCCAGAACATGATGAATAAAAGATTCTCAGTATGTGCTGTTATATAACAGTAGTTACTGTATGAACACATTATGGCACAGGAATTACTCTGTATCACTACTGCTATCACGGATGGCATTTAAGAAGATAATTTAGTACAATAGCCAACATAAACATACCTCTGGTGCAAGATACTCTGGAGTGCCACAGAAAGTCTTCATTGTTGCTCCATCCTTGATGCCTTCTTTACATAGTCCAAAATCTGTTATTTTTATGTGTCCATCTTTATCTAGCATAAGATTTTCCAACTGAGAAGAAAATTCAAATGAAAGACATTATTACGTATAACATACATTGCTCCTGAGCAAGTCAATGAAAGACAAGAATTTCTGCAGATCAGTTTTCAACCTTGTTCTCACTAGGGTCAGAACCACAGTAGCTGCCAAAGCACGTATGATGTAAATATACATTTATATCACTTTCCTTAGTTCTTTAGGGAACGTTAGGTAACTGATTTGTAGTCTTTGGGTAACTGATCACGTATACAGAAAGAACACAGAATGCAGACACTGTATTTATGCTTCTACAATATTATCACCAACAGAACACCAGCTCTTTATTAAGTAAGTATTCCTCCTCACACAACTTCATCCCTGCTTTTACTCTAGGTGTTTTTATGAATGACTCTGTACCATTAAAAGATAGCAAATGAAACAAAAAGTCAAATGCAAGGCTAAGGAACCACTTCCAAAGAGACCCTTTACATGACAATCACTTTATACATTTACTCAGCACGTGGTATTCATCCCAGCCTGTGCCACTAAATTTTGAGAAAGCCATCCAGATTTTAGGACAGAGTTTCCACTGTGTATGAAATAAAGCACTTTCAAAGGAATCATGGTTATATGGGAGACAAAATCCCAGCAGGAATCCCAAAATTACTTTGACGTAGCCTGAAAACATTACACAGCAGGCTCCATTTTAGATTGCTCCTAAATGAACTACCAGTATCCTCTCATCCTCTCCTGAAAACACTTGTCAGGAAAAAAAAAAAAGGCTATAGTTGCATTTTCTTCAAGAATTTCCCAAGTTTGTTTGCTCTGAGATTTCTTGTTTGGTTGTGGGTTTTTTCCCTTCTGTGCTCAGCAAACAAATAAGCAATATGAAGTTTATCCAATTTTCTAACTCAAGCAGGTACTATGAAGATAGTGCTATGCAACACATTGCGAGGAAGTGCGACATCCACACAGTACGAATTTGCATCTATCTTGTAAGACCTGGGATGAAAAGCCCAGGATTATGTTCCACCATGCAGAAGAACAGCAAGGTTTCTCTTGGAACCTAAGCAGGCAAGTGAAAATACAATCCAAGTACCTCTGTACCCCTTCATATTCTCTGAAACGCTGCCAGGGTCCTGATAAATGCATTATAAAACCTCTTAGGCTATAAAAGTGTTTAGACATCCTGTAAAGTCAAGTCCAACAGCTGCAATAACTATTATGTTAAAGTTCAGTCAGGAAAGGCTTTCTTATAGTTCAGACTCATTTGCTTTTGTGACTAACAAATAAATAGCCCAAACCAAAAAAGCCTATGAAATTATTTTTCTACATACCTTCAAATCTCTATAAACCACATTCTTCTCTGAATGCAGGTAATCCAGTGCTGAAACAATCTCAGCTCCGTAAAACCGAGCCCGGTCTTCAGAAAAGACACGCTCTCTTGACAGATGGAAAAACAACTACAAGAACAATAATTTGTTACCTTTAGATTGCACATGTTTCTGAGTTCTGTCTCGCAGTTCGCAGGCCATCCTGCTTGGAATGCAATATTATCAAAGAGAAAACCCCCTCCCCATCCTCACCCAGCTGTGTTCCCAAATGTGTTAAAAAGGATCATTAATTAAATGATTAGACAATTACATCTCATATTCACAGATGCATACTGATAACCAGTTTGTGTGCTGCATGTTCTTGTATGTACAGAAAATTATAAAAACTCATTTTGACTGAACTACAATTACATATTAAAACTACAGCTTAATATAGGATTTAGAGATGTTAATATTCCAACTTTTCCTTGACTGTCTAACAGTGTTTTGCCGTTTCTAGTTCTCCCTTCTAAGTAATACGTGCTCATAATATTCATTAAAAAGTGTTAGAAGTTGTCTGATGAGCAACTAGAAAGCAACCCTGCCTTCTTGAACTACATCAGATTACGATATGTTGCTGTCATGTAAAATATGAACCTACACCCAAAACCTCTATTCTCTAAAAACAAAGTTAAGAAAATTAAGAGTCTTAATTCTTAATATTAGTTAAACCTGGGACAACTTGGATTAATTAGAATTGCAAACATGGACCTTAACTAAACAATGTCAAGCAGAATTAGTAGTAGTACAAGAAAATCCTGAAGTATTAAACATTATTACATTTCCCTTACCTCTCCTCCATTAGCATACTCCATAACAAAACACAAGCGATCATGTGTCTGAAAGGAATACTTTAAAGCCTGAAAGAGATTTAAACCAAAACTCAGGAGGCAGACCACACTGACAGTTATAAAAGCATTTTAAACAGATTTTCAGAAACATAGACAGACATGAAATTGTCTATTTTCGTGGAGTTTTGGTCCTTGGATCTTATATAATATTTACACTTTCCTGTTGCAGCTGAGGACTGATCCACTGCCAACTTACTTCATTAAATAAATTTAATAAAACATTAAAATAATCCCTTGCAGAAGCTATCACTAATGCCTATAATGCTGTGAAACAAAGTCCTAGCCCATTAACAGTGATACAAAACATACCAATAGTGGCTTGAAGTTTCCTCCCCAGGCCACAAGCTCCTACAGTTTCATCTCACAGACAAGAGGCCACAGTCAAACCCCAAAGCACAAAGTTTTACCACACTGGTTACAAGCCCTCTTATATGAAACACACATGTATTTACCCCACACAGCCCCCTGGTCTCTGCCCTGCTGCCTACAACTGCTCCCTGTTGACAGCCTGCCAGAGGATTGAGCAATACTGTCAGTATCAATTTGTGAGCAATTCACAAAAACAGACTGGACGGAGGGTGTGATGGAGTGTCACAAAGTGCCTTTGTATAGTCCTGTCACATGTATTCCTGTGGCAAGTGTAACATCAACTTGTTTGCCACAGTCTTAAGTTTTTTTGGTCACAACCCAGTCTTGTACCTGACTTCTAAAGACAACCTTTGTTTTGGATATTTGGGTTTATGAAAGCATTAAAAAGAAAATACCACATATGATATCTTCATCTTCATTACTAGGGGTGGCATTTTTAAACAAGTCATATTTTTGTAGAGAAAGGGAGGATCAGGTTTTAGACATGTCAACAAACATTTACTGATTATACCAGTACAGCCAATATTTACTTCCAGAGGCCACGCTTAAAAGGTTTAAATTCCAGCTAAGCCCTTGTGCACCTGGACAAAGGAAAGAACCAGGATCCTACACAGGTCTCTTAGAGGGCTAAAGCAGTTGGAAAAAATTCAGAGCCAACTTGTAATAAATACTGGAAATAAAATCTTGAGGTAGAACTTGGGTGTCTGAACTCAACCCTGAGAAACTGCTGGTGTTGGGAGATATAAACTGTGAATATGGTTTGATTTACAGCTAAGACAAGCTGAAAGGAAAGCAGCAGATAAAGCATGATCCTGTTCTTCCCTGTCCCATCCCACATGCTTCCACCAGTGTCCTTTGGCTGGCACTACCAGCACCGATTCCACAGTGAGCTGCTTCTGGGAGCTTAAAAAAACAACAAAGAGAAGCAAAATTAAAGGGTTTTTCCCCCACTATATCTTCCTGAACTTGTTTGTCACAAGATCAGGGTCACCCTGATCTCTTCTACAAAGAGGAGACAGACCATTTGGAGGACAAGGAAAGCAGATACTTCTCTCAGAGATAGAAAGCCATTAAATGGGTGAGCCATAAAGTCGAACCACACCCTGAAACACTGTCTTCAAGAGGTACTGAGGACCTGCTCTGCAAGAATCAGAGGACTTAAAAAAGAATTTTAATTTATGCTTCCCAAAAATGGAAGGGTACAAAAATACCCAGGCACTCTGAAAACACTGATCTCAGTTGTATTATATAAATAACAAAAAATAAGGAAGGTCTTGGTTGTCATGATGTCAAGTTACACTCAGCAGAGAGAGAAATGCTTACTGTTAGGAATGGATGCCGCGAGTTCTGTAAAACACGGTTTTCTGTCAGCGTGTGCGCTACTTCATCCTGAAACACAAGCAGAAGGAAATCAGCAAAGTGATTCCCCAGATCAGGGGTCCATTTCAATCACTAACAGAGCAATTCTTTACAAGTACTCAGAGGATCCTTGGTATGACTTTCCCAAATGCTATATCACATTCCCAAGTTTCCCATCCACTCACCTTTGCAACAATAACTTCCTTCTTCAGAATTTTCATAGCATAATACCGTCCGGTTGCTTTTTCTTTAACTAAAATGACCTTTCCAAAAGTGCCTTTTCCCAGTAGTTTAAGGTATTCAAACTCATTCATGGTCTGTTAATGATACAGATAAACAAGAACTGAATTACATGAACTAACAAAAAGTATATCGTTCTCAGAATAGAAGTTCTCGTTCACATGAGAATACATTACGTATGCTGTATACGTGGGATTTTTAATCCTTTTGCTTAGTAGAATGCAGGAGCAGAAATGATTCCTTCATAAAAATGAATACCAGTGCACTCCCAAAGACAATCAAACTCTGAGGGGAAAACCATAAGCTTTCAATTAATAGAACACTCTTTTACATGACTCAACACTCAACTGTGCAAATACCATTCAACGTATTATTACTAATCCATAGACATTTTGACCACTTTGTCAGTACATTCATTAAAAGGCTCATGTTGCTCTGATTTCAGGAATTAAACTCATACCTTTTTTCTCATGTTTCCCACCTCTCCAGAGGACCAGCTTTCTTGTGCTTCACTGAACAGCACCAAAACCCACAGACAAAATGACGGCTTCAGAGATTAGCCATTTGCTCTTATCTGTTCCACCATTAGGAAAAATGTTGGGGAAAATCAGAATCTGTTGCAGGCTGAGGATAGTCTCTGGACTCTCTTATCAATGACCACTGCCAACATGGCAACAGTGCGACTTATAGAGCCAAAAGCTACTGCAGCTTCCGTTGGGGAAAAATATTAAGATGCTCCCAACAGCAAATTTCCTCCATATTCTTCTGCAGGGCTGGCTGAGGAGCCTCTCTGCTAACTGTTCAATACAGTTGATGCCAGGACCCCCATCATCATTTTGGTTATCCTCACTACCATGCTCACTGTCTCAGAAGAACATGTATATTTAACTAATGAGGTGGTTTTTGCATTTCTACGAAGAGCTGTTCAGCAAGAGAGGTACCTATTCAGTCAAGGACACAGAAGCCTAATGGCAGCTACAATTCAGAATGACATGTAAACAGCCACCCACATCAGTCTAAAACCACTGACGTAACACAAGGCTGGCACACGTACTTAGTGGTAGCACTGGTGGATGGCTATCTTTTTTCTTTAAAAACTTCACTGGTCTTCCCCAAACTGAAACAAACTTATGAAGTGGGGATAACAACGGTGAGATGAGGACACAAAGAAGTGCCTTGGTACAGTTCACAGACATAGCATTTGCGTGGGAGAAGGTTCTATGAATTCTTCCTTACAAGAGCAGGTGGGAACACTTTGGAAAATGGAAACCCAAACAAGAGTCCACAAGGGAGGAGAAAGAAGTCAAGGCAGGTTGAAGACACATACCTAAAAGAGCTCCACAAGTCAAAGATCTCCTCTGGCACATACTCCTTTCATGGAAAGCCATTGCTGAGCTGGCCCTGTGCATTCAGACAATGCTGTGCCTGATGTAAAAACCTGAGCTCTAGGAACACTACGGACAGACACTGCAGTGGCTGTCTGGGAGTCAGCCTAAACCTTTAATAAGGAGCAATTAAATCCAGTGGACCCACCCTAAATCCTGCAAATCTATCTTTGCACCAGCCTGTAAAGAGTTTACACAGTCACAGTGCAGCAGGAGCTATGATTTCAGGCTCTCTACCTCAGGAAAATCAGCAAACCACATACAGACCTGAGCTGGCCTTGAAAGCCATCCAGTGAGGACATCTGAACTCAGCACTCCAGTGGACCTAGACAGGCTTTGCCTGGTACCTGCTCAGCTCAGACAATTGTTTCCTCCAGAAGCTGCATCTACAACCAGCTGTGTAATTGTTACGGGAATGGATGTGTCTTGTTGGCTATTTCTTGTCTACATTCTAGAAGACCTATAAAAGTATAGTTATTCCTGCTATGCTCACTTACCACTTTGTGTTTTGGCTTTGTCATAGAGACTTCCATTTCTTCAGCACCTGAATTATCACTAGGAGAGCCAGATCTAAAATCCATCATCTCTTCCTCTTGTTTCTTGAGGCTGTCTGCTACTGTTTGGATGGCTTTTGTCCATTCTTCCCTGGAAAAACAGAAGCAAAGACATTCATTACTTGTGACTTTAAACTACCATCTGACATGGCAAGGGTGATCAAGGAATACAAAGCAACTAATGCTCTCTGATGGAACAATGAAACATACAATGAATTATATGCATTTTCAAGCACTGTAAAAATGTGTTTTTAAGAGCACTTTTAACATATATATTTATTAATCATACTAGAAAGAAGAGACAATTGAAGTTCTCCCAATCTAGATACAATATAAGGCTTTTCAGACACAGAATTTCTAATAGGCATTCAGTCAGAGCTCAAGATATGACCTGGTGATACAGAGATTTATGTAACAAAAACAGACTTGCCAAAACCAAAAAGCAAATGGCTTCCATGCAGCACAAAGAAATTAAACACAGCTTCTCCATTCCTATGGTGCACTGAAAACCCATAGATCTAACTGCTGGGGGCACTATGCCACCTCTTCGCACACACATCCCAAATTTTAATGGCATGGGGTGTTCTAGGAGAAAGTATTAAAGCCCAGGATACTTAGGTTATTCCTCTGTTGTAAAGATAATGATAGAAGTACAGCAATTCCTGTGTAAATTTTAGTAGAATGTCAGCAAAAGCAGTGGCATTTTATCTTAGGCACAGGTCTTGGTTACAATAAAGTTTCCACAGCTGTTACTGCAATGAGTATTCTAATACTGACCCCTTCAACTCCCACAGAGACCACTTCTACTGTGGCGTCGTTTGGGAAATTTCACACTTTTGGAAACTACTGAAGTGAAAGTTCTTGGCCTTCACTTCATTTCACTGCAAATTTACTGAACATGAAGGATGTAACTTTTAAGGGCTTACAGGATTTTGGGACAGACTAAGAAATACAGGGGCTGAAGACATGTTCAGTGGACTGTGTGAATTTAGCCTGGTTTATTATCTTTCATATCTGTAGGAAACTGAACATAGTGGTTTAGTTGATAGGCACCGGCTAAACGCTTCTTCCAAACACATCTCAGGTAAAACACTTTGCTACTACAACAGCAAGAAAGGTAGTCAGTGCTGAACAACTCCACGCACAACCTGCAGTGAAGCCATGCCATCCTAATCAATGCCATATTTTTTACTGGTTTTATGAAATTATTAAAAAAAAACCTTAACCATATCTGAATATGTGAATTTCAGTTTGTGATGGATGGAAGAGGCAGATCATTTCCCAGAGAATGCAAAGTCCATGGGAAAAAGCACCCAACAAAAAATTCTAACAAAAACTGCACCAGTTATACATATGGTCTTTCCTGCCCTGTGCATTTTTTATTTTATATTTTGTCTTAATGTGCAATGTCCAGCCCTGTCTGGGACAGCAAGGTAATGCTAAAAATTCTGAACATTCTCCCTATACAAACAGCACAGACTACTTCATTCACCATCACAAATACATTCCTTTATTTACTAGTCATTTTTTATATTCGCAATGATGACAAAAAGAACTTTTTCTTCTGTATTTTTATCTCTTCATCTGTCTCAAAAAACAAATGTTGGTTGGCAAAGGCACAGAGAAAGGTAAAGGCCTATCTACCTTCACATCTCCTTTAAGATCTGTTACTGACTTGGTTGAGATCTCTGCTCTCCTGAAGTGAGTATCTTTGATTTCTGAGAGACCAGAATTTCACCCTCAGCTTTTATGTCTCAAGCATACACAACAGAGGTGACTAACACTCTGAGCCCTGAAGTGTCACAAAGCTGACTTAATTGGCTAGGAGGGAACAAAACAAGACTGAAATACAATCTTCCCCCAAGTAGAAACTGTTATTCACTCCCTTTAGGGTCACTGACCACAAAGCTACTAAAAGAAACAAGGACCAGTTTCTTTTCCTAAGCTTTTAATTTGATATCACCTTCTTCTGATCACCGCAATAGAATCAAAAGCAATAAACAGGAACCTTCTTTAAATCAGAGCATACAAAGGCTATGAAAGAAAAAAAGCAAAGAATACTAGGTAGAATTTGCTGATCTTAAAAATCAACATGTTCCAGTATAATATCTAGGGAGGACAATGGTTTTAAAATACCCCCTCCCTTAGGGCAATGGTACTCGAATAATTTGAGTTCAGTTCTTGAAGAGCAAGTAAATATTTAAATACTCTGTAGTTGTAGAATAGCTGTGCTGGAAAACTGTTCTCTCAGGAGGTAAGAGATCAATTCTCCAATGATGAGAGCACAGGATGCATGCTCTTAGCTTTGTTTCCTAACAGCTGAAACAGAAATCTGCACCTGCAGCAGATAACTATCACTTTTATTATCTAATTTGCATAATGCATTAGCAATCAGCAAATGATACAACTAACTTTTTTTCCTTTAAAAACAAGGTGTCTAAAAAGACTTTAAAAGGTCAGTATTTTGATAGAACCCCATTTTGCCTGAATCTCTATTTCACTTGTGCTCATCCTTCCAGAAACTCCCAGGTCAGAAACCCTTCATTTCACATACCACAACATTTCCAGTGAGAAATGAACCTTAAGTTTCCAGAAATAACTACCTGTGTGCTGGTACACACCTGCACCTGTCCGTTTTGGATACCCAACCTAGCAACACTTCATTTACAAATACCACTCAAAATCCACTCTCTGAAACCCCCTTTAAGGTACCTTTTATACTGGAACATGCACTAAAACTGAGGCACTCAAAAATTATTTGTTGCTTTTCAGTCTAGACGTACATCATCTGATAAATAAGAGCTTCAGCAAAGGACTTGCTATTAACGCTGAACACTTGCATCTGCTTTTGCAAGTAGTTTATGTATTAAATATGAATGAAACATACCGCTCCTCTGGAGTCTCCACATGAAATGTTCTTTCAATTACTGTGGTCCACTGGAGGCATCTAATGATAAATGTGTTTGGTTTAGGTCGTTCTGTCTTCATCAGCTGGCACTCTACCACAATCAAGGAAGAAAGAGTCATGGTACATAAGCAGGTTTAAATAATCATTTGTCTTTATTCTTATCTAGCAAACTGTTGTGATTAATCAGCCATAGAAATCTCTGTAAGTACTTCTTTAGGAGACTTGAGACAATTTACTGTGTTGATGAAACCAATAAATAGCTTGGGAGATAGCCATCTAAGCAGCAATGAAATCAAATTCTGCTTAGAAAGGCTCCACATTTGGTCTGCCCATAGAGGTAAGTAGAAATGTGATGACACAGAGGCTGCTCAGACTCAGGTCCTACACTCCAAAGGTCATCCAGAGCAGAACACACGGACAAAGTCAGCTGATAATGCAGCAATTACATCCACTGAAACTAAAGCCAAGCCCCCATATGCCCTCCCTTTGACTTTCCTGACACAAACCCCTGTCCTTGGCTTTCAAGGAGTTGCTAGAGAGAGTGTTTGGTCATTTTGCAGCAACCTGATGAAGATTAGACTCAGCATTTCCAGTCCTCAAACACTAGAGGGAACATCAAACTGCAGTGGCACCCCCAGAAAAGACCCTATTCAAAAGGCCTTTGGGACAGCCGCTGCAGAGTCAGATGCTGCATGGACACACAGCTAACAGTTTCCACCACTGCCAGTATCTAAACACAACCTAAAAAGGCTACAGAAGTATAGCTACATGAAAAACCACTGCTTCCTTCACAAAAACGTTCTCTCGAGAGCTGAGCGCTTTTTTTTTTTTTTTAAAATCACACCTACTATTTTAAGATACATATTATGAGTGTTTACCCTTCAAATCTGGACCCGAAAACACATGTGATTAAGGGTACACTAGGTATACTAGGAGAGGATCTGAAAAACAAAATCAATTAAATAACAACAGAAGCCAAAACACCGTATTTTTCAGATTTATATTAATAGAAAATCTAATGCTAGTTAAACAGCTCCTGTTAAAGGAAAATCAAATGAAGAAATCAAGTGGTGGGGGAGAAGGAAAAAAAAGAGATAATTGGGTTTTTTTCCTTAAACTCTCTTCTTTGCAGTTAATGAAACCGTAAGATTGCTATTATTTGATCTTCAGGTTCTAAATCAACTTCCAAGTAAATAAAAATGCACTATGAAGACAAGAAGAAATTTCTGCTTACTGCTAGAGCTATGAACATCCTCCACCATCCGCAACATGCAAGTCGAGGGCAGAATCCGGCCAGAATAACAGTGCATGGTACTAAAGCTACACTGGTATCGTTAGGTTAGTTTTATTATTGAGAAAATTTAGAATGCTCAGTTTTAAATTCAAGCTCTTAATTAGCACCAAGATAAAATATTTACTGCCAGTGTTTTTGGGTGCCGTATTTTTGGCAATATATTTCATGCCTCATTTGCTACTGGAATTATAAGCTTTTCAATGAGTAACTCTGCATTTTTCATGACAAGAAAATCTAATTTTTCTTTAGCGGCACACTGAGGTTATACTGCATCCTACTAAAGCACTGCAATTAGATAAGAGAAAGTTTATTAATGAGTCATGAAAAGGTTTTAGTGTGATAAACGGCACTCCTTCATTCACTGAGATTAAAGAACTTCCACACAGCGACACAGCCGTGCTTGCAGAGTGCTGTATTTAGCCTTCCAGCTAAGAGGAGGCATCCTCTTTCACAGAACAGCACTGAAAGCCGAACACAACTGCACAAACTGGCACAGCCCAGTAAGCCCAGTTCAGCTCAAAAGATCTCATTTCTGCTCCCGCATCGCCCACCTTAGCTTAGCTGCTCTTCTGGTTTTTTGTTGTTTGTTTGTTCTGTCTCCCATTTTTGTCTACTTAATGTGACTGAGGCTGGGGTTGTCCTCTAAGTCTGCACAATGCAGCCCTAACAGATACTGAATTTGGCTGAAGACTCAAAGAAGAAAATCAGGCTATTTCTAACCTCGTGCTAATCCAGAGCTGTTCCCCTATACTTATCCAGAAGTGCAACATTATGAAGAAGTAAAATAAAAGGCTTTGCTTACTTTTTTAAAACAGACTTTAGATTCCCATTTAGTGCCTCAGATTAAGTATTCTGATGTAGCAGCACAGATAATTTAAACTAGCCATGAACTCTAAACTTTAACCATTTAATTTCAGAATCATAAAACATACAAGGCATTTTGTCATTGAAGGGGACCAATTAAACATCACCACTTTTCCCCTAAATCAGCACTGTCCATTGGTATTTGTTAAGCTTGCTGATCCAGCAATCTTTTAAGGCATACAGCAAGATGAATAATAGAGATTTGTCAGTTAATAACCACTATAATTCAAGTATGTCACATAGAAGTGTTTTGTTTCGTGAACAATATGCTGTCTAATTACCCTGCTCAATCATAACAGCACATATCAAGAAATACAGAAGGCTTTAAATTGCTTTACTGAAGTGCTGTACCATATAGGTTTCAGAAAGTTTGAAGCTACCACTTAGTTCTCCCCATATACAACAATCCCGTGGATTTTATCAATGAAACAATGAAGCAGTAGGTTTCTTATTTTTAAAAAGAGCTCTGTGCTCTTTACTGCAGCTGGCAAGCTAGGGAAGCACCAAACTTGACTCCTATAATCAAGTAATGCAACATGCACCCCTACAGCAGAGCACAGATACGGATGCTATATATTATTAGGTGTGATTCATGACATGTTTGGGGGTTCCGCTATGAAAACATTCACATTTCAAATATGGGCTGAGGGTCACCTACCCACTTTGAAGGCAGTTTTTTCTGTCAAACAGGCCAAGGTAAGTATCCCCATTTGCAACAAAGTAAGTACTATAAACAGCAGCCTGTTAAAAATTATTTAAATTGCTCTAAAGAACCTCTTGATTCTTTCCTGGCTTTGGTCTTTTTAATTAAGTAGGACAGAGAAATTGTTCCTAACAGGAATAGACACCAAGGCATTCAAATGTAAATTACCATTTTGTATTTGAAAGACACTTAGTATTATCCCAGTGACTTTCTAAAATGTCACAATATTTGCTTCCCCAGCACTTAAGCTAAAAGGCAGATTACTTGCAATGGAAGTGTCGAACTCTGCTCCCTATATAATGACATCACACTTAAAACAATAATGTCAAGGAAGAATCCTTCTTCCTGCTTTGGTTTTTTTAAGGAAGAGGATGGGGAAAAAACAAAAGGCAAATCAGGCAAGAAGAATGATGAATGAATAAAACTTTGGAAAGGCAAACAGGAATATTATTTTGAAGTGCTCCTTTTCTGCTAGCACCACCTGATAGATTCACCCCCAAACAGCTCAGCATGGCAAAAATGAGGAGCTGGGAGCCCCCTGTTACAGACCTGGACTAAGGTGGCCGCTAGTAACAGCAGAGAAAAAATTTGTCCACTAATCTTTCCATCCTGCGGTCTCTGATAAATGCTTGACTGCAGACACGCAGTCCTGTCCCAAAAGGAACACACATATTGTTGAGCAATTATGTTTTCAGCTGTGTAACAAAACCACCACGGTCCACCCCCCTTTTTGACAGAGAAATAATCCCTTCTTTCTAACAGGAATAACCTCTCTCTCCATGTGGTTTTTCACAATATACTGCTCTTCTCAGCTATATGGTTTTAAAGGCTTATAACCTAATAGGCAGACATACACGATAATCCGAGATTACAATTGGTATGAAGGCTACTTATCTCACAGATTTACAACACAGGCTCTATTAGTTATTTATCTGCAGGGTCTCTGGAGCAGAACTATTTAAGTACAAGGTTTTTTTATTCCTTGTATCTTACTAGTGGTGAAGTACAGAACACAAATACAAACATGACTCAAAAATGACAGCTAAATGCTCAGGCACCATCTTTCAGAGATTTTGCTTTGTTTTTTTGTTAGTTTTTTTTAAATAAATTACCAATAGCTAATTTCCAGGGAAAATAAACTCCTTAAGTATATAATTAAATTGCAAACACAGATATATAGATATTTTAAGTGGAAAAGAGCTACTTAAAAAAAAAAAAGTAAGCCTCTTTTTACCGAGGGCCATAGAAGCAAGTTTTCAAAGATATATGATCAAACCCCTCACAGACTGAAAGGAAAACGCTAGTGTAGGAGAGAGACTGTTAAGCACATAGAAAGCACACTATTTATTGCTAATACTTTCTTCATACCAGTTAAGGGAAAAGACAGATCATCATTAGACGTTATCTTCTTTCACTGTTTTCTCTTGAATTGAGCATTTCCTACCTCTCATAGTTGACAGAATCACTTAATATGAATATTACACTACAAATAAGAGTCTCATGAAAAAAAACTTTTACTTACAAAGATAAAAACCCCTACATTATTTTACAACAGAAGAGGGTAAAGATTTTAATCAGAAACATGGGACCACTTCCAAAGAACAGACTGACACAGACAGCCTGCCATCTCATTAAAAAAAAAAAAAAATCCAGTTCACTAATTAACAAAAAAGTCAGGGCTATCATGGTCTCTTGGGAGGGGGGAAAAAAAAAAAAAGTATGAATTTTTACAGAACATTTAAGCTATATTTCCTCCACCTTTCTCTGGCAGGAGGTTTCTACAGGCTGTCTCTGCAGCACAAGGCTGCCTTCTGGCCTGAGCCTTCCTCCAGAGGCAGCTCAAGTTCATTCACGCTAACTCGACAAGTTAACCCAAATGAAAGTACCAGGCAAGCAGGTTCAAAGAGAAAACTTGTGCTGCAAAACACATTCAAAGGATACAAACGTGGAGGGTACCCAGAAGGGAACCGCACATCAGGTGCTGGCAGTACTGCGTGCCAGTGCCTACACGAGAAATTAAATCCTGGTGGGGCAACAGCTGCTTCTGTGAGCCCAAAACCACAATAATGACTTCTAGCAAGGAGGCCCCCCCTGCTAATCATCAAGGCCTTCCCGACCTGCCACTGGTTCACCAGGCAAGAGCCACTGCTAGGAACATCCTTCCACCCACTACGCTCCCCACAATCCCTCTTATGGGGGCTACATATTACTCTATAGGCATGTGTCATGTCTTTTTTGACAATGCTCCAATACTATGGTAACAAATTTGTTTATCTATAAATGCCAAGACTGATGGGCTCAATCTGCCAAAAAAAGTACCATATTCCTGTTATGAAAACTGATTTAAGTTAACCCGTTCTGAGGACAACTTGGACAAAGAGAAGGCAACAGACACATCTTTTTTTACTCCTCAGCACGGAGCTGCAGTAAATAATTATCATAAGTAATGCAGTTAGCAGCAACAGGATGGAAGTGCCCTGCAAAAAGTGCATTTGTTAACAGCCTCTGGCTACAGACCAAGAACTGAATTAATTTATGAATTAATGGCTTTCTGCTGCTTTTTTTTACCTTCTAGATCCATAAGGAGATACCGGTCTAAAGGGGAAAGTACCATGTCATTACCAAAATGAAAACACTATGACAATTCTCTCTCTAAAATGAGACAAAAACCCCCAAAGCACTCTTGGCATCCTGCAGAGAGGCACCAGACAACAGCACGTCCATTATTTATACCCATCATCAGTCAGAACAGGTAGGTATATGTTGTTACCAGTGGAAAAAAATGAACATTTGCGTTAATTCCTAGTGCTGCCCAGTCCTCTTCTGGGCCCGGGGTGTTCCACAGTAAATCTGTCTGCTTAAAGGTCAACTACAAAGATGAACCCCATATATTTCAAGCTACCCTGTAATGAAGAGGGAAAGCCCCTACCCTTCTCTCTGCAGAGCTCTGCTTCCACTAGTCACCAGGAACAGATTGTTGTTAATAACAGGTGCCACAATGATCTATTTTTAAGTGGTGGAACGAGACACAGGCACATCATGAGACAGGAAAGAGTAAGAACAGGAGAAAATAAAAGCTGGAAGTATACACCAAAAGGTTAAAAACATGAGCAAGAAAAGGAAATTATCTCCAGAGTCTTCTATCACATCCTGTGCTTCAGCACCTGAGCAAAGTCGGAAATGTTTGCATAGGACAGAGTGCAGAGGTTAGGAGATGTTATTATTTCCAAACCTGTTTGTTGGCTCTAATATAAGAAATATGGTTTTATGTTCAAAATTAAGAAAAACTCTGTGTGTTTCATCAAAACCAGTGCTCACTCTGCTTTCTCTTACTTTACTAATCAATTAACTTTGACCTATGTCAATGCCACTTGAATCCAGATCTCGTGGCAGAACAAGAGTCTGAAATGTTTCGACTGTGCCTACCTACCAAGTATCAAGAGATGTGCCTGGGTTAATCTTCACTTTAAAGAAAGCTGATGACATGCAAAATATGAACAAACAAACCCATTTTATTCTATAACCACAAACAGTAATTAGTAGAAAATGGGAAAAAAAAAAAAAAAGCAGAACATCAAACCTCTAGATCACAGTTATTCCTAAGAAATACAGTGGGAATTTACTGTCTCAAATAAACACATACATCATACTGGGCAAACCCAAATGTTGCTGATACATCTTACCAGCGCTGTAACTGCAAGAAGACATCAACCCCCAAACTGGATGAGGGAGCAGGTAAAAACACTTACGAGCTACTGAGAAGTTATTTAAAGGTGATTCCCGCTGGTCAACATCCTGCGGTCGTTCCTTGTAGCCAATGAACGTGCCATCGTTCTTTAAAAGAAAATACCGTGGCCTCCATGTTTTTATGTATTCTCCTGCAAAGAAAGGATGGGCAAAGGGAGAGAACATCAGAAAACAACCTGAAATACTGACTCGCCCATAATTTTTTTTTTCATATTAGAACTATATGTCAGCATGACATAGCAGCAACTTTAAGAACATTCAGTTCATTCTGATACAAACAGTGGAAAAATACAGGCACTGAGTCAGATATTGCTAGTGATGTTAACCATAAAAATGGGACTTCATAAAAGGTAAACAGCCATGTTTTGTTCTTCCATCTACTCTGATTTCCATTCAAATTCTGCAACATCTGCCTTAAATGCATTTTAAATTTTAAAAAAATCAGAGCAGATGTCCTATGTATTATTTTTGCTATTGTCATTTTTCATACTGACAAGTGGAGAAATTTTTTTCATTTACATTTTGCAGCGCAAGTATTTTAAACAACAATGGGTAATTTACTAATTAGTCAACTGCTTTATCAAACCAACAGTCACTTTTAGAACATAAGAAGATAATTCTCTGCTTAAGTTACATAACATCACTCACTCCTCTCACAACATCTCGAGCATGAAACACAAGATGATATATCACAATATGAAGGGGAAAACACTGGATGATATATAGCCACCAAAAAAGGAAAAAACACCTCTATTCTGAAAGATATTCACCTTTCTTTGTCAAAGAAACCACCCCTTGCTCACACCATGCTACTGTTCATCTGAGTAACCTGCACAGGTGACAGTCGCGTGGCTGTGTTACAGCCACATTCAAAATGTCCAGCAGTAGAAGAAAAGAGTTGATCAAAACCTGTTATTACTGGATTTATTCAGTTAGGCTTCAGGGAAGGAAGACGGGTTCCACCTGTGGCTCTTCTGGGTGACTGTCAATGTGCCCCAGTTTCCCCCTGTCCATGTTATGTTCTCCAGAACCTCAAATAGTTTTACATGATGTCAAGCTGGCCCTCCAGGTCCTACAAGTCCTTTTTGTTTCTTTTTGGCTGAATCACAAAAGCCTCACTTGAGGTACTACTGAAAGGAGGGTACCAGCCACACTTTCCCAACTCTGCTCACCCCAACAACAACTGATTTTAAAAAGTTTTTTAAAGCAGCGGCCACTACAAAGCACCCACAGCTGGGCAGCAGCTATAGCCTCCTCCCTCCAGAACAGTTTCTCATTTGTTTGTCGAACAACAGGGAGAGGATGAGGGAGCAGACTAGCAGCCCAGCTTCTTTCTGGTCTGCTGCAGCAGGAACATGCCTGCGCACCCCGCGATGCTGCCCCTGCAGCGGCTGGTACCCAGTGCCCACGGTTTCATCTGCTGGCGAGCTCCTCAAACAACCACCAAGAGCGGTGAGAAGAAAAGGCTCCCCAGATTTATTGGCTCTGGCAACCTTCTGCTGCTCTCCTGTTCTCCCAGGCTCTGCTCACACCCTCTCTTCCTGCTGCTCGGCTCTCTTCCACTGGTAATTTCTCTCCCAGCGATGTGCATCCTGCCCCAGGAACTCCCCTGCAGCTGCTTTGTCTCCTTCCTCTCCACACAGACCTCCTCTCCTTCTGCGGTGCAGTTTCAACCTGCTTCAGGCACCAGCTGTGTCATTTCTTCTCTGTTCAGACTCATACTTTTCTCTCCTGCACACAGAAGCACATGCAACCCCAATGACCATGGCACATGGCCATGGGTATACACACCCTCAGCTGTTGCTTTCACCTGTGTAGCCCTCATTAGGATTTTAATTTTCTAATCTAAAGCAAAAAACTAAGAGTTAACGAACCAGCGGAGAGTGTCACACATAGCTACCTTTGCAACAGTGGCCACGTCTACAGAAAACATCCATTTGCACTGAAGAAAGAGGAAACGGGGCAAGAAAGACAAGAGGAAAAGAAACGAGCACAAACCTTCTCAGTCTTTTTGAGACATCTGTTACAACTGAAAGTGTTATACTAACCTGTAAGGGGTTTACAAAAATGTCATCGTTGCTTTAGGAATTTCAGAAGAATCTGCCTATAGCTGTCATGGCTTAACATTTATAAGCAAGGCAGTAAATGTAGAAGGTTTTGTTGCCATCATCTTTTTAATTCTGACCTTAATTAAAAGCTGAAAACTTTCTGGGATCAGTAGGAGCTTATGAAGCCTTTCACATTTAAATTATCAGTCCAACTCAGCCCAGATCACTGAGATTACTCCAATCTCATTACTATTACACCACAGATGTGACTACAGGACAAGAAGATACATGGCACGCTCAGCCTAGCTCTTGATGAGAGGTTTCCCAGGTAAGCAGGTCGGGGAGGTGGCTGCCCAGACCATCAAGATTTTGGAACACACTGTTACATACCTGACTCGTTGGTATTTTCTTCTCTTGCATAAAGTACACGCAGGAGACCTAGGAACCATCATACGCCCTTTATCATATCTGCATTTAGTACTAAATCCAGATTGGATGGGATGAAAAATACCTGAAGAGGGGCAAGACAGAGTTTCCATTTCCCTCACTCCCTAATCTATGCTACATGTCTTCCCCATCGGTATTTACAGAGGGCACATTTATTTTTTGCAGATTCTGAAATTACTATCTGGTTATTTTCAGTGAAGTGTGCATAATTTTACACAAAATTACACTGTACTGTCAAAAAAGACTCTTCCTCTTAGATTAGATGCTTACGTTTGGCTCTCATACTTTCTTACAGCTTTATTCCACCGATCTGTTTCTCTGTTAGAAACACATCATCTAACAGGATTAATCACATAGTCTTTAAAACGGTGTATTCCATACATATATAGCATCCTCCTCCACACTCACTCTTTCTTCACTCTTTCTGTGTGAAAAACCAAGGATTTCATTACTGCCAGGCATTTTGCAAGGACTATTCTACTTGGAGCTTCCCTTACCCACTGCTTTAGCTGGTTCTGGTGTCTGATCCACCTTTTTAATTTGCAAATAAGTAACAGGATTTTAAACTTTTTCCACATCTGAAGCTTAATGAATCCTGTAATATGGCAAGCATACATATTATTGATTATTGCTCTTGCCAAGGACAGTATGAGGCACACTGCAGCATCTGTGGTATAAATTTTATTATATAACATGCTGAGGTTATACTTCTGCATCTTGCAGCAAAGTGGCAAGACACTGCCTGGTATGCGACTTCCCAATCAGATAATCTCTACGCCTAATTTTACATTCGAGCCTGAGCAAACTATTGTTCCTCTACAGAAGTTCTGAAACACAGATTTACCAATGCAGTCATCAAGAAAATGTACAAAGTGTGTATTCTTAAGTAACAAGTTCATATTTTTATGATTAGCTAAAACACTATAAACTTCCTACAGCCTGTGAGGACTCCCATATTGATCACGACAGTAAATCCAAGTCTTCTAGGCCAAAAAGGTGTTCATCAATACAGACAAAAAATAATTATGTGGAACCACTGGGACAAAGCTGATTGAAAAAGATTAACACCTTTTCCTTCCTCTGCTATACTCAGTAAGCTATCATGCCTGAAGAGTGAATTGAACCATTTCAATTTTTGCTCTGTGTTTTTTATTCCTGTTGCAGTTTTAAGAATCATAACAGTAAGTTACTTGAAGTCACTAATATTAGTAGTTATGTAGTCACACTAGAAGAATTGTATCGAGTACAGTAAATGCACGTATGTGTGGCAAATTCTACCAGACAACGCTAAAAAAATAATAATAATGATCCACCATGGAAAAGTGAACAATTTACAAAGCAAAACATTTTTTCCTCTGTGATTCATTGCTTGTGTAATGCCCTGGCAGAGCCTTCTTTGTTTTCAGTAACAGAATGCTAACACTGCAGAGAGAGGAAAGCAAAAGCATGGGTTATAAATCCTACATATAAAATCCTGGAACCAAACAGACTCCTCTGTAGCTTGCTAGCTTTATTATTTAAAATCTTTATGTACCATTCTGTTTACTCCAAGCAATTTCCAAATTGCAAAGATTCCCAAACTGTATATTTCTGGAAGTATACATGAAGATTGTTATAGACCGATTTCCCTTTATTGCCTTGTGTCTGCCCCCACACACTGCACATTAAAATACTTAACGCACACTTAGAATGTAAATCCATCTCATGCCAGAAAAGCTTTTTCACAGTAACATGTACTGCAAAGCACGCTTACGCCTGAATATTTCAGAAAAAGTTAAACACAAAACTCTCTTGGTTCATGAAAAGTTAATTCTACTGAGGATTTACAATAATGCAGGGTTAGGTTATTTTCCTCTCCTCCCCACAACAGTATCTCACCGAATCTGGAGCTGTCTACCACTGATAGAGTGTCTAACATCAGAAACAGCTGCCACTCCCTGGGAAGCTCACGGGGTAAGTGGAGAATAATGAGCAGCAAGCACCAGCAGAACAAAAGAAAATCCATCTTTATTTACCAACTGCTGCATGCTTGTTGCTGCATCAAGCTCATTCAAAGCCAACACCACACCCTTTAATTCAGAACAGACTATATTTAAGAAGTCTCTGCCTTTTTCTTTTTTTTTTTTTAATCAACTCATACATACCACTGGTTTGAAAAAAAAAATCATTAGGTTAACCAAGTCAGCATTCAATGATACCCTTGATATTTACAAAAGCATTGGACCAACTATTAACTTTCTTATGCCCCAAAGTAACCAGAACAACCCCAGAATCACCAACTGAAAACAAGGTCTCAGTTATGTGAAATGCACTCAAGTGGCTAGCACAAATCTATGGATAAATAATGCATTAAACTTCCTGTTCTGAGCATCAGCAGTAGCACCATTAATTACAATTAAGGTTAACACTCAAAATGTTAGAGCTTTTTGGTTATGCAAGTCCTCTCCACGCTCCCTCACACTCTGAAGATGTACGCCATTCCTTGATTGTACAGCTCTGAACATTCCGAGGGAAACACCGAAGTTATGCGCCACCGGTCAAAGGCGGAATGACTCATTCCTGAGACTTCAATGGCCACGAGAAGTGGTCTGCATCCTGTCGGCCTAATAAGGCTTCAGCGAAACAGATGCCAGCTT